CTTTCGACATCCTACTAGATACCTTCAGTCTACCCGCACTCCCGATACAGGAAGAAGCACATCGACAGGTCGATCTACGACTTAGATGGTGGCCACTCCGACAACGACAACAAACGGTCAAAATGCAAGTGAACCCCAGAAACGTACGTCATTAAAAGGGGGAGGTGTTGGGGATGTTAGATCTCCAGAACTCATTTGGTAAATGCCTTAATTTTATAATTTTATTTTGGAGATTTAAATGTCCTTGTTTTCGCGCTAAAGGTGCTCTTTTCACCTTCATGTCGTATTTCCCACTTGGGAGAATCTTTAACGCTATTGGTCCGTTGTGTATTTTTAGTATGCTATTTTTGCTACGCTTCCCAAGGACAGTTTTATGCTGTATACATACGTTTGATTTGTGTCTGTTATTATTCACTCGTGCTTCTGGCTTACGGAATATGCTTTCTCGTTCCAAGCTAGGACTTCTTCCTCTAGTTAGCGGGGCTGGGACGCATCAAATAGCCAGCTTATTGGTCTACGGTCACAATTCTTTGTTCCGTCCGGAGACTAAGTGAACTCGTGATAGCTCTAACTCCAGCAATGTGTAGCTGACTCCGCTATAGCATTCAAATGGTAGATACATTCTATCTTTTTGTTATTGAATTTCATTGGATATCCATTCTTAATCAGCAGGTTAGTCAGCTCATCTACAATAGTGTTATCACAGCAAATCATTTTACCAATCAGAAATAAATGAAAAGATCTTGACTCGTCGTGCCATAATGATTTAACACACGACATCAGGTTGTATTGACTAAAGTTTGTATGGTTATCCACCATATTCCATCAAATCCACCATATGGTTTTTAACTTCATCTTTTGCATATTGTTGAACATTTCGTAATCCATGTTCACAAACTTAACGTTTGCATTCAAATGAAATTTGTACAACTACACTCTCTATTTTGGTTATCGATATAAGAGTGAATTTCACCTGAACATTAATCAAACAAACACATTCACAATATTCATCTCTTAATTCTTGCTTAACTACCATAATACTGACCCTCTATTAAAATATTCTGTTAATTCTTTTTTAATATGATGTAATGTACTAAGGGTTTAATTGAATTCTACGTTGATTATCATAATCTCCTTTTTTCTCAGTAAATCGATATCATTATATGGTTACTGTGACACCATATAATTATTGCGTAATGTAACTGCTCGAAGGGTATTGTTTATATTGTTGGAAACCATATCGATATATATATTAGTGTAGAGATATGATATGTAGTTCATAGGCATGTAGGCAGTGAATAACTAGTGGAAAATCGATGTTGTTATGGTATAGCATAGATTAGAGAAACTCAAGGTAATTTCAAAGTTTAATACTTCACGGCAGTTTGTTCTGTTTTGCTTTGGGGCTGCGAAACGTGGCCACTAAGATGAAGATATCCGTAACCTACTAATATTTGACCACAGATGTTTTAGAAATATTGCTCGCATCTGCTGGGATCACCGGGTAATTAATAGTGAGGTTAGACGCAGGGTATTAGGGAATGATAGTAAATCAGTTGGTGAGGTTATGAATCTTCATCGACTGAGATGGTTAGACCACGTGTTACGTATGCCTGAACACCGATTACCACGACGCTTAATGCTGACTAGTTTTGGAGACGGTTAGAAGAAAGTTAGGGTCGGCCGAACCAAAACATGGCATCAGTCCAAAAAGTCACTAACTTCTAATCTAATCCATGTTGGTAGATGTAGACTACTTGGTTGGGGTCCGCCTGGCTATGGTAAGCAATGTTTGGAGACTGGGTGACACGACTCAGGATCGATCACAATGGCGTCGATGTACACACTCTTTGTCTTCCCTTATACCATGAGATTAAAACTGCTTTATACATTCCTGTCTCCGAACTAATTCTTTCTTCATGTATTATATCCTTATACACAATCTTTCTTTTATATATTACTACTATTGAAGTAACTACTATGAATTTGGTGTACATGTAGTTGTACTAATGAAGTGTGGCAACTTGGACCAGTGCATATATATGTACCTGATCCTACGTTGCAGCTGACTGACTAAATAAATGATATAACAAATAAATGCGACATTCAAAGAATGGTTTTTTTTGGTAAATCAATCATAACATATAGCCTCAAGTAAACTTTCGTTAACCCGAATTGCTATACCACTATGGGATAAACATTAAAGAAATCACAATAATTGTAGTGGTAATGATAGTAAAAGAATCTAGACATCCGAAATTTATTTCAGGAATTAAGAATGCTGGAACTCAAAATTTAATGGATAACAAATGAATTTTTCTACTCCATTGTGATTGATTCTTCGTTACGTCAGTGTTCATATCCAACTATCATTTACGATATTTACACGGACCCTTATCAGATCATTTTTAAGTACCAACATACCTTACTACTCTATCTTGGTTTGTTAATATAGATATTTCCCGACTTAGTTCTGTATTTCTACATTGGGTTGAATAAACTTACTAATTAGTTTACTATACCCCTTGAACTAATCAGCATAAAGCATTCAACTGTCTTTTCCATTATCCTTTCAGATTTAGAAAAGTTTACATATGAAAAGTTGTTCTGTTCAGAAAATAAAGAGATTTCGCAATAACATAAAGTGTCACGTTTCTAGTATTTTGACACATTGTTGAAACATTTACCATTGGAATGCAGCAAATATATTTTGTTTTCAATGCAATAAATTCTATTTATCATAAAACATTAACCTAGTGATTAATTTATTCAACATTCAGCCATTAGGGTTCTAGTTTGAACCTCGGTTAATATCAATAATTTTCATTGGGAAAAATATGTTCTAAAGTTCAGTTTATAATTCTTACTTACTTACACCTATTACTCCCAATGGAGTATAGGCCGCCGACCATCATTCTCCAACCCACTCTGTCCTCGGACTTCCTTTCTAGTTCTATCCAATTTTTGTTCATTCTTCTCATGTTTGTCTATCTCCATTTCTCGGCGTAATGTGTTCTTTGATCTTGAAGATCTCAAGGTGAGGGCTTGTCTTGTGACGCAGTTGGGTGCTAGCCTCAATTTATGTCCTATCCACTTCCAACGCTTCTTCCTGATTTCTTCCTCCGCTGAGATTTGCTTTGTTCTCTCCCACAGTTGATTGTTGCTGATAGTGTCTGGCCAGCAGATCCGAAGTGTTTTGCATAGACAAACTGTTAATAAACAGTTGTGTCTTCTGGATGTTAGCTTTCGTAGTTTTCTTGGTTTCCACCTCATACAGTAGAACTATCTTGATATTTTTATTGAAAATTCTGACCTTGGTGTTGGTTGACAATTGTTTTGAGTTCCAGATGTTCTTCAGTTGTAAATATACTGCTCTTGTTTTGCCGATCCGTGTTCATCAATGATGCTGCCAAGGTATGTAAAGTCTTTTACATCTTCCAAATATTCTCCGTCAATTGTGATTGAATTGGTGCATGCTGTGTTGTATCGGAGAATCCTGCTTTTCCCTTTATGTATATTGAGACCTACTGCTGCTGAGGCTGCTGCTACACTAGTCGTCTTCTCCTGCACTTGTTGTTGCGTTTGGGATAGAAGGGCCAGATCATCTGCGAAGTCTAGATTGTCCAGCTGCATTCTAGCTGTCCACTGTATCTCATTCTTCTCCCCAGGTGTCGACGTCTTCATAATCTAGTCGATCACCAGGGGAAAGTGTGAGAGTAAGCAACCTTGCCTGACACCGGTCTTTATTTCGAACGACTTTGTCAACTGTCCTCCATGCACGATTTTGCAGTTTAATCCATCATATGAATTCTGTATGATATTGACTATCTTCTGAGGCACTCCGTAGTGTCGAAGAAGCTCCCATAATATTGTTCTGTCCACGCTATCAAATGCTTTTTTGTAGTCAATGAAGTTGATGTAGAGTGATGGATTCCATACAATCGATTTTTCCACAATGATCTGTAGTGTTGCGATTTGGTCTGTACACGATCGATCTTTACGGAATCCTGTCTGTTGGTCTCGAAGTTGGACGTATACGGAATACTTCATTCTGTTTATCAATACCCTGTTGAAGACGTCTCCTGGTATTGAGAGAAGAGTGATGCCCCTGTAGTTATCACAGTTGCTGAGCTCGCCTTTCTTTTTTATTTTGACCAGAAGTCCTTCTTTCCAGTCTTTTGGTACTTGTTCCTCATCCGAAATCTTATTGAAGAGAATGTGGAGTATCTTCGGAGTTACAGTTACGTCTTCTTTCAGTGCCTCTGCTGGAATGTTGTCTGGTCCTGCTGCCTTGGTCCATGGGATTCCCATCCTATAAGTGCATTTTGTGCTTGTTTGGATAGCATGAATGCAACTCCTTTGTGTATATGGGGCCGGAGTATAACAGAAGCTCCCCTGAATCTAGTCGTTGTTCAACCTGTTTCTAATGTGTTTCTTTAATTTCAAGCACCTCCAAGTTGTATCTCTTCATTTCTTCAGCAATTTGGAAGACTCTCCCGTTCTCCCACATTGTACGAGCTTCCCATGTACCTAAATAAATGGTTGCTCTGATTGTCAGAAGGGGCGTTAGCCTCTTGACTTCCGAAGGAACTCGGGTTTCACCATGAGGCGTGATAACTCTTCTAAATGGAGACTTTCTTACTAGCAGGGAAGAGTTTAAGTGGTTTGAATTGTTTTCCCTGGTTATCGTTTTAGATTTCTGCGGGATGGGGTCTCTAACCCCATGCCCAACCCTCCTCCTTTATCCGGTCTTGGGACCGGCAGTAGCCCCCAGAGGGGCTCCAGGCGGAGTTAGTTTATGATTCATTACTTGATAAATAAGTTACAATATATACAATTCTATCAAACCTCCTGAGGGGCTCCATGCGGAGTAAGTAATTACTCAAGTCATCTGAAAGTTTAATCACAAAAGATAGTTTATCTTATTCAACCTAAGCCTAAAACAATTATCAATCATTATTCTACTTTAAATTTTCATTCTGTTCTTATTGTTAATTTAGGAATTTTATACATTAAAATGGAATAGTAAAGAAAAACTACAATATGCTCCAAATATTGTTGCTTCTACAAGATGGTTTAATCAAGTTAGTTAGTTTTTACTATTTGTTTATTCTTTAAAAGGTTCATTCTTTTTTACTGTTTAACTGATTCACATCAGAACGATTTCTTGTAAGTTTGTAATGTTTCTGTTGTGTTTGTGTTTGAAGTAACATCAACAGCTTACCAAAATATCTTTTATTTGGGGGGCTCCGGATGTGGCCCCCTAAAAAACCACTTGCTTCGGTTTGGGCACCCGGGCAGTACTATCCCAGCCCTCACGTATATCATTTTGATGCCTTTATGTACCAATGTTTATGTGTTTATATAAATGAATAAATACCAAAATATTTTATATTAGTGCTACTGTTCTAACTTTCTGTCTTCTACTAGACCCGAAATGCCCTGATATGGCCGAGAGTGGGGAGAGTCCGCTCTTCCTCTCGAAAAATGCTCTCACATAGCCACGTGCACACAACTACTGCCAGAGAAATTTTATCCACTGCCTTCTCGCGGCATCTCTGTTTTTTACGAAATTGAGAGGATGAAAAGCGAACCTCCTGCGCTTTAACCAGTTTGGTTGAATTGGGAAACTTTGATTCCAAACATTGTAACTAGTGATAATTTCTTATTTATGATTTTACCATAAGGTAACGTTTATATTATTTAATCAAATAGTTATCTCATCGCCAACTTTATCAGGTATAAAGTTGATGTCGTTGTAAGGCTTCATTAATTGTGCTCATTGAGGTATCTGGTTATCACCATTACTTAACATTTTCAGTAGTTATTTAACTTTTTTAGACTTTTTCTAAAAGTTATTTTTCAAGGTTTCAATAAAATGTTTCTATGCCATATAACTAAATCGATAATAACCATCAATATAATGTCTCTTTGTTAATCTATAATATATGATAAAACTATATAATTCTATTTGACCTTTATAATATAACTAAGAGGATTTAGCTTAATATTTATTACAGAAAATATTAATTTTCCTTATCTATCACTATGACAACTAGAGATTTCTTTTCTTTCTTTTTCTTCTAAAAAACAAAGAGATATAATCTTCTTTATCTCTTCGAACGAACTTTAAATTCCTGTTCTTTATCATTGATGTTTCTTCTCCCCCCTCTCTCTCACACACACAAATTGTTTATTGCTTGTTCATTTTCATACTTGTTATTACTTTATTCGTCGCCCCCAAATGCCCTTGTACGGCCGAGAGTAGGGAGAGTCCGCTCTTACTCTCGAAATGCTCTCATATGGCCACGTGTATGTAGCCTCTGCCAGGGAAGTCCTGTTCATTGCCTTCTCGTGGCGGGGGCGTTGTTTACGAAATTGAGAGGACGAAAAGCGAACGTCCGGCGCTTTAACCGGGTTGGTGGACATGGAGTCTCCACCTAGGGGATTTGGAAAATCCTGATTCCAAAACAATGGTGCACATGGGCTGGCTCCAGTATCCTGAGCGAACAAATGGCGTATGAACCAATCGTTGGTCACCGGCTATCATGGGACTGCATCTCCTTACGATGGTCCACTGCCTTGTGGATCGAAGGCTCCGGGTGTGGCCCCCCGAGGAAACCACCTGCTTCGGTTTGGGCACCCACAGACTTCACACATATGAAATGAGATTTGTGTGGCGCATATGTATCTGGTGCCTCTTTGTACCAATATCTATGTGTTAAAGTAAAATAAAAAATTTATTTGTCGCTCGATTTCATGAATTAGTTAAGGTTAGAGATTAACACCGTTGGATGCCAGTCAGCTCAGTGGTCTAATGGTTAATCGTTCGCGTGCGAGACTGATAGGTCCTGGGTACAAATCTCGCGAGGCGGAATCGTGGATGCGCACTGCCACTGAGTAGTCCCACAATAGGACGAAATGGCCATCGAGTGCTTCCAGATTTTCTATAGTGGTTTACCTTCAATTGACTCATGATCTCAACCATTGAAATTACTATAATATCTATAAAAAGCCTTCTGATATAAAATCTATCTATTTTTAGATTATATTTTGGGTTCAAAAAGATATATTAAATGAGAAAAGTTTATCGAAGCGAACAGAAATATTATCACATTTTATACGAATAGCAAAGGTTAGTGTATATACCTACTATTTTTCTTTTAGTTATTAATTTATATTTTGAATTGAGGTCTATGCTATTACTTGTATGTCTGTAAAGCCAGTAGTCAGATTTATGGTTAGTTTGTGAGTAGTAGTCCACAATGTCAGTATAACAGTTAATTGCAAACTTAGTCTAGTGATCACTAAGTTGCCACTACTCGTTTTCCTATAGGGTCAGTAATGTCTTTGTACATAATCTCACTACAATTAAATGTGACAACATACAACTATCTCTATTGTTGGTAATATACATTGAAGTTAAGCAGTACTATTCAATTCTATCATTCTCACGTAACTAACTTTGTTGTCGAGATTATTCTCAAAATACTTGTAATAGAAATTTACTGTAGTTTTAAATCAATTGCCCGGAAAACAACTATTCCACTTTTGACTCTCATAAGATTTGTTCTTACCGAATAATAACACAAACATTACTGAAATTACAATCACAAGTGTCCTGAAATTATTAGCTCATCAAAGTATAAAGTACTCATACAATACCCGTAGGAAGATATATTACCATTCCTGACAAACCGTTGGTAATAGTTGCGAAGTTCTTGTATCTTCTTAGGTACTAGTAGTAGAGCAGATAAAATCACTGTACCTTATAGACATGCCTAGTTGAAATGCACTGATCGGGGATCAACTTTAATATCACCGCAGTAGTAAAAAACCTAGTGTACGGCCTATCGATCAAAACAGGTTCGATATACACTTGTGAAACAGTTTTAAGGATTGACATCAATGACCTGCTCATATCTGTTACTGGTAACAAATAGTTAACTTAATCGATAACATTCAGTCATCTCTAAAAAGATTAGATAAACATGACATTAATCACTACTTATTGATCAATCACTTGTACATATTGTCATCCAATGGTTTACATTTTTAACTTGAGTTCATTCTCTATATTGTAAAACTATCTACCGAAATTGAATAGTCTCTATAAACCTTTTTCATTCACGACTTATCTCGAAAAGAATTCCTAAAGTTTTATTGAGAAGTTGGTGACCGCATCATTGCCCGGTCACGTTGTTATAAGTGAAATAAATGACACTGAGAATTGATCATCTAGTGTTGTGAAATAAACTGAAGTTAGAAATGTGGGATTATTAAATCCCTGATTGGTAATTTAAAAGTAACGCACTCTTAATCATGAAACCTGAAAATCCTAAGTTTCACATCTCGAAAGGTTTACACATAAGCGTTCATGATGAGTATCGATCTAGGCTGAAATAATATTCAAAATAAATTTCAGTGCTCTATTTGTCTAATTCAGCACATTATAAAAAACAAAATAGGGAAACTAAATAATCTCGAATATGGCGGGTTCTTTAGTTAACAACGAAATCGTATTTTATACTGTCATCACCAATGAAAGTCCTGTTTGATAAAAATATAGTCTTCTGATCGTCATGAGCTACAATACAAGCATGTTTAGAATGTGTTTATACTTCTCTAAATGGAAAATAATTCTTCATAACTGGTCTACGTTAACGCATGAAGTAATAAATTGCGTCGACCACTTTACTTATTTTGGAAGTCATATCAATCTGTGAGTTAATGTCTGGCTAAACCTTGGCACCAATTCAAAATGCTCAGTCGGTATTTTTCAACGCACATCCCTTTTGGTTCAGTTGACATGTCCGTCTACCAGCCAAAGAGCAGGTTTATTGTACAACGATTTACTCCATTCTACTCTGTGGCTGTAAAATCTAATGTTTTAAAAGAGATTATATCCATAGTTTACTAGTGTTCGATTATAAATGTCTTTTTACCACCAAATTAGCAATACTAGGGGTGGATTCATTGTATTAGGTAGAGATGACAAATCAGTCGATAAGGTTAGAAATATTTATCATCTAAGGTGGGTGGGACATGTGTAACGTAAACCTAACCACCACTTACGTGGACAGGCAATGTTGTCTAGTGTAGGAGTAGGCTGGAAGAAATTTAGAGACGTCCAAATCAAGTTATGGCATTAATTCATGAAGGTACTGACTATTGGTCTTACCCATGTATATAGGTGTAGATTATCTGGTTAAGGTCCGCTCTATCAGCATAATTAGCAATTGACATGGCTCACAATCATTTAGTGATCCAGATGCATTCACTCTTTGTCTTGCCTTCAATCCTATGTTGTTGTTTTTTAATTATCCTAAAAATTATTCCCATCTAACAAGTTCGTTTTTTAGGGTTAGAATCTTTTCCTCTATTATTGATTCTATTAATGGCTATATTATGGCATTTCATTGTACTGACGTAGTATGGCAACTTGAATCAATGTATATTTGTCAACGACAATGGATAATCATCACGATGTATTTCAAATTGACTAAAGTTGGAATTATATCATTAGTCCAGCGTTCACCTTCAGACATGAAGGTTCTTTGTTCGATCTCCGATGTGATTGTGAATACTAAAGAGTCTATGATTAGTCTATGACTAAAACACCCTACAAATCAAATCAATCTTCACAAGATCACTTCAGTCTAATTCTGTTACATAATTATTCAAATTACTAATCTTGTTATTATTGTCATAAATAAAATTATATTGGCTATTTATATTTTCTCTCACTTAAACATTCACACACACACACACCTACCCATTACTTTATACAGAAACTAGTTGATTTAAATAATTTCTCATCAGGAATGGCTATTGTATCTGCTTTACATATGCATTGTATTCATCGATTAAATGCTACATGGTCTAATTTATCTTCACGTGATCGTCATATATTTCGAAAATTGTCAGATTTGTTTTCTCAAGAAGAAAATTTTATTAATCTTCGTTCAGCTGTAGATAATTCACGTCTTCCATGTATACCATATTTAGGTAAGTTTTAATTGTTGTTAAGTGTTTATAATAGATAACATTAATCAGGATTAGACTTTGATGACATAAATATTGGTAAAAAGGAGGTATCGAATACATATGAACCACACAAGTCAATTGATTTGTGTATGAGCTGTGATACTACCCGGGTGCCTAGACCACCGAAGCAGGTGGTTTTCTTAGGGGGTCACACCCGGAGCCTTCGACCTAAAGGTCTAATCCACAAGGTATTGAAGCAACGTCGGGAGATGTAGTCTCATGGTAGCCGGTGCCCAATAATTGGTTCATACGCCATTCGTTCCCTCAGGATACTGGAGCCAACCCATGTGGACCATTGGTTTGAAATCAGGGTTTTCCAAATCCCTCAAGTGGATCCCCCATATCCACCAACTCGGTTAAAGCATCGGACATTCGCTTTTCGTCCTCTCAATTTCGTAAACAGCACCCAGGCTAACAATAAGTAATGAGTAGAACTTCCCTGGCAATAGTTGGCTGTGTACACGTAGCCTTGTGTGAGAGCATTTTTCGAGGGAGAGCTAAATCTCCCCAACCTCGGGGGCATCATTAGACTAAATTTTAAAAAAAATGAGTCCATTTTGATCAATTTGATTATTAGAACTATGTGATGTATATTAGTGTAATACATTGCGAACAATCTGATCACATATGTACTTGTTCAAAAATAGTTTGTTCTCACTCGTAAACCTACCCTGGTAATGTTAGCTTATTATCCAGATTGATGAGGTATTACATTATTTTTCATATCATTTTATTTATTATCTCATTTCTCTTCTCATCCTCCATTTTTTAGTCTAGTTGGCCTTTTATTTTTATATGCAAATGTTTTAACAACAAGTATATGTGTGATCAGATTGTTCGAAATGTATTACACTAATCTATTAGCACATAGTTCTGATAAATTTCATCTTCTTATTGCACTACTCAAATAGACTAATTAGTGTGTTTAGTTAAAACTATTGACAATGCCTAATAGATATATATTCAGAAGGGTTTTTGTGAATGTTATAGTAATTTCAATGGTTGAGATTATGAGTCAATGGAAGCTAGACCATTATGGAAAACCTGGAACCACTAGACGACTGTGTGAAGTTAAACATTAACACTGTTAGATATTGGCTCAGTAGTCTAGTGGTTAAACTCTCGAGCGCGAGACTGATAGGTCCTGTGTTGGAATCTCGTGAGACAGGGTCGTGGGTGCTCACTGCTAAGGAGTCCCACAATAGGACGAAACGGCAGTCGAGTGCTTCCAAGTTTTCCATGGTGATTTAACTTCAGTTGACTCATGATCTCAACAATTGAAATATATATTCCTCATTAGTGTACACTTCAAACCTCGTATTGGAAATTTGAATCCAGAGCTACTTTAATAGATTGTTCTTTGATACCATAACAGACGTCTATGATGGAATTATATTTATTACTGTTACCTTTCACTTCCTAGCAAAATAATTCAGTGTTTAATTTACATGAAAATATAAATGTAATTACCTTTAATTGAGAAGATAGTTATCCATATTGTATTGTTGTGTGAGCTAACATTAAAAATGTGTCAAGATGTCACATGATGCACCTTATTCTAATTGTTAGTTCGTCAAAGTCAAGAACCTGGATTTTACACTAATTTGCACTTATCAGCAAAGTATATCTAGGATTTTAAGGGCATTAATCCTCGTGTTGTGATTCCCATGAAAGTCATTTATTGTTAGTAACTAGTTTTTACTACTGATTTATTGCAGTTACAAATGATGACTTGCTGGACTGTTTTCCACATTAATCTCTTAGTAGTAGTAACCCATGTTATATTTCTCCAATGCATAGTAGTAATCAGATTCTATCAATCAATTTTTTATGTTGTCACTAGTTTGCGTAACGCAATAACGGATTCTCACTTCATTTCATATATGTTATTTCTGTGTACAGTGATCTGAACATCATTAAGAATTCTTCCTGATTTATTAAATATAGATTTATGTACTTAACTTTGATCTGTCTTGCATATGTGATTTAAGCTGGCTTCTCAAATCTGCAATACATTGTTACGATGTTCAAACTTTGCTACCTCATTTGTTAAAATGTAAATATGGATTGAGATCTTGGACCGATTGATGTTAGACCACCGTTGAAAACCTGGAAGCACTCGACGGCCGTTTCGTCCTGTTGTAGGACTCATCAGCAGTGCGCATCCACGATCCCTCCGCAGGATTAGAATCCAGGGCCCTCAGTCTTGCGCGCGAACGCTCAGCCTACTAGACCACTGAGCCGGCATCCAACAGTGTTCATGCCCAAACTCAACCAATCCACGAAATCGCGCAATCATCTTCCATTGTACTGAAGTAGATACCTGTCTCTACCCGACACGGATTAGCTCCACTGGTCATGGCTTCTCACTAGAGCTCCGAGAATTTTCTTACGAAGCTAGTCATTAGTGAGCACATAGTAATTATCAGTATAGGGTTGTGGAGATCTCAATCAATAACTTAATAATTTCCACAACCCTATACTGATATAAATCCAAATGGTTTATAATCATGATATCAATCGTCCATTTCACAATCAGTGGGAGTGGTGTTTATTAAGTTTTTTCTGACCTATATAAAAACTGTTACATTTTCTCAGTAGTTTTGCAATTACTTAATTTGTTTTATTTGGATTTCCATTTGGACGTATGTGTATGTAACTGTAACAATTACCCATATTTTATGTTCTGTCTGTTATTTTGTCATTCATATGTCGTATATATATACATTCCATCACGTATACTTATCCATTAATGTGTAGAACGTAAATTGTATATACTATTAATTGTGGTTGTGGTTACTGTTTTCAGCTGTTCACAGTCGTCTATTTGAATACTGCCAGAGATAGGAGCCCTGTGAAATATCGTGCCTGACTGATTCGATTGATAATCTTATCCTCTTATTAATTATTTAGAAGTTGATGATAACTGATTGACAATAAAACTATTATTAGGAAAATGATTTTTACTACCTTTTTTTACTCTACCTCACTGTTACCATGTTGTTGGAGTTGTTAAATTCTTAGAGCTCACTTGGTAAATGCCTTATTTTTGTAATTCTATTTTAAAATCACCCACTTTCATCTTCATTTCGTATTTCTCATTTGAGAGGACCTAAAATGTTATTGGTTCGTTGTCTTTCAATATGCTATTTTGTAACGTTCCCTAAAGACATTTTTACACGGTATATATACACTTGAGTTGTGCTTATTGTTGTTGTTGTTCGTGCTTCTGGCTGCTTGTGGAATACATTTCCCACTTTTAAGCCTGGAATTCTCTCTCTAGTTAACCAGGCTGGGACTCATCGGAATGGTTAGTTTATTGGTCATTGTGTCATTGAATCTTCGTTCCGTTCGCAGATTAGTTGAACTCGTAATCTCTTCGAACACACCACATGTTTAACAGAAGTTTATTATCACTATTATTGTAATTATTATCATCCTGAAAAATATGTGTATATATTTAGGATTGTACAACATTGAAAATGAATGCCTCGGAAAGAGTACTCTTCTCTAAACTAATCTTTCTTATTTTAAGACATACTTTTGACAATGTTGCTTTCTTCTCACTTTTCACGTATTGTTTTCTCATCCGGAGGTGTATCTTTAAGTTCATATCTCTCCTTAATGAAATGTCCATTGTTAGCTTGTCGAACAATGACTGAATGGTCTAGAGGTTAAGCATTCGCGTGTCGGGGTCGTAGATGCGCACGGCTGAGAAACCTCATACTGAGATGAAACAGCTGTTCAAAGTTTCCATAGTAATCTAGATTTAATTGACTCATTAATTCAACTATTTATTAGCCTAATGATTAAATAATTCAATCTTATTTTCTTCACAATCAAATCACTTTGCCATCACAAATATTTTCATTTAAAGTTAGATATATAATTGATTACTTTGTAAATTGTAGAGTTTAAGCTCTTCTTTTTAACAGATGGTGACCATGGAATAACACATATGAAGTTCATCGTTTTGAATAGATTAAAGAAGAGATAATTTTTAATTTAAAAAAACTAGTTATGTTTCTTTGAATCAATTATCATGATCTACTTTCATGGACTTATTGAAATCTTATTAGTTTCTTTCTTATCATTAGTACTACATTTTGTTTAATCCTTCTTAGCTTTGACTTTTATTAGTATTTCTCACGTTTATGTTTAATATTACATATCATAATGAATCTGTACTACTAATGAAGTAATAACAGTGTTATGTGTTAAGTTCTAAGTAGACATATTGATTTGGTTGATAAATTTGTGAAACTCTATTAGATGGTGTGGTTTTATTTTACATGTATGATGTATCGCTAACCTCCAGCTGGTCGATACTGATCAATGTTGTGTACTATATGACCTACTGATTCATCTGAATAGTTGAATATATTAGCCTATGTGTACCGTTGGTTTAGGATCAGGGTTTTCCAAATCCCCTAGGTAGATCCCCCATATCCACTAACTGGATTGAAGCGCCGGAGGTTCGCTTTTAGTCCTCTCAATTTCGTAAACAACCCCCTGGCTAACAGTAGGTAATGAGTAGGACTTCCCTGGCAGTAATTGGGTGTATACGCGTGGCCATATATGAGAGCATTAGGAGAGGGAGAGCTGACTCTCCCCAACCTCGACCGTATTTAAGGGCTTAGATGTGAATGTTATGCTTCAATTGTGTTTCAGTGAGTAAGCATTGAACATGTGTTGCATTAGTAATACCTGAAACTAGTTCTCAATGCTGAAATAGTTGAAATAGGATTAAATACCATTTCTAAATTCCATTCTTATTAAATATGGAGAATAATATCGATTCAAAGTGGAGAGAAAAACAATGATTGTAGTTGCTATTCTATTACTACTACTGCGGATATCATCGCCTCAATAGTCTGAAGGTTAGGCTCTTTCTAGGGAGACTGTAGGTGCTACATTCAATCTCTGATGAAGTCATTAACCTTCATTGCTGGAGAGTTCCGATACTAAGTCGAAACACCTACCCATTACTTCCTGGTTTTCAATAGTTACCTAATGTAATTCAGCCTATTATTAAAAACCATCGGAACGGTTAAGAGCTTACAATATATCTCTAAATATTATTCATCTAGAAATTATCTTTATTCATACCTTTAATATCACGCTTGAAAATTCTGTGCAAAAAGATGACGTTTAGCAATTCAAAATTGCTATATAAATGACCATATTTATATGCTGGAGAAGATGATTTTGGTGGATTTTTGTTTTGTTTGTGCACAAACATAGAAACAAAAATCAAACCAATGGGAGATACAACCAAAACAAAGAAATAAGCAATGACAGATTTAAGGTCAACGAGAACCAATCAACATCGAGGTGTAAAGGACAAACTGTGAACTACATGTGGAGAAATTCGAACACTTCACTTCTATCTGAAGTTTGTGTTGATGATATCGTTCAGAAAAACGATGAAAGCTTCATGACCACACTATTCAGCTCAGAGAACAAAACTCTATCAAAAAATGACCATATTAAATTATTTCTTATTTAAAATTATTTGACCGAATTTCATTCGTTTTACTTCTATTTTCTTTCATTTGGAGACTGTTTGTTAAATTGAAGTGTCATTTTTTGTTCACTATAATTCATTAATTGATCGAGCAGTGGCAATGGTTATCAAAACATACTACTTTCAACTACTAAGTCTCATTGTCAGCAGTCACTGTTATTTTAGTTTCGACTTCGATGCCTGTTACTCCCAATGGAGCATAGGCCGTCGGTTAGCATTCTTCAACCCACTCTGTACTGAGCCTTCCTTTCTAGTTCTATCCAATTTTTGTTCATTCTTCTCATGTTTGTCTGTCTCCATTTCTCGGCGTAATGTGTTCTTTGGACTTTCTATTCTCCTTCGGTCTTGAGGATTCCATGTGATGGCTTTCCTTGTGACGCAGTTGGGTGCTACCCTCAATGTGTGTCCTATCCACTTCCATCGCGTCTTCCTGATTTCTTCCTCCAATGGGATCTGGTTTGTTCTCTCCCACAGTAGGTTGTTGCTAATAGTGTCTGGCCAACAGATCCGAAGTATTTTGCATAGACAAACTGTTAATAAACACTTATATCTTTTAGATGATTGCTTTCGTAATTCCTTAGGTTTCCACCGTATACAGTAGAACTGTTTTGACATTTGTATTGAAAATTCTGACCATGGTGTTGATTGTATAGTTTTCAATAAATCATTCATTAAAAGATATGATTATCATTTGTAGATCATATTTCAAATATCTTGAGTTTTAACTCTATAAATTGTTTTTATTAATAAATTTCTTAGTGATAAATTATTATGTAATTTGATATTACATCATACTTTTTGATGATAAAGGGAATTTCTTTTTCAGACTGTAATCATTATTGCCTAATCCACATGTAATTTTTACTATTCATAAGTTCAGATTTGAACTAATAATCTAGAAATCGTTTTTTACGTGTTGTTGTTGTTACTATGTGTGTTCTGGGGAGATTGATTGTAGTAGAGAATTCTTTTCTCACTGTAAACTGTGAAGTAACAGTGTAGTGAACAGAACACGGGTGGGGACAATCGAATGTATTTGACACAAAATTTACAGGACTTGTTAACAAAATCTAACCATCATAAAGTAAATGCTTAATTTGCAAAATGTCCATCGATTGTCTCATAATGACTCAAACTTCATTGTTCTTGCATGTTCATACAAATTGCATTCTGTTTCCATTCTTTACGGTTCAATCCTCTTGTCTCTCTGCTGGGAGACATTCTGTTCACGACTAACATCATATACTACTTATGTCAATATAAGTAGCACACACTACAGCAGTAGTTGTGGTAGTTCAAAATTCCAGTCATTAATTTATGTATGCTTATATAGTTGTTTCTTTCAGAAACATATATAATACGTAGTACTGTAGAGTATTTATTGGTTATTGAACATAAACTCTCGCTCGCTCGCTCTCTTGCACTCATGTATGTGTGTGTATAAACCCTATTCATTTCAATGATTTAAATGTTTTTCTCGTTTCTTATAAATAGGATAGTCACATAAATTGTGACAATCACTTTTTTTCTTATAAGGATACTATCGTTGATTTTTTTGGGTCGAATAAAATGAATGATTTTTTATTGAGATCATGAATCACCAGCTGAGGAGTCCCAAAATGGGACGAAACAGCCCATTCAGTGCTTCTAGGTTTTCAATGATGGTCTAACATGAATCGGTTCATAATCTCAATCAAAAACTTAATAATCTCCACAACCTCAATATTGAAAATGAATGGTACTTCTTCTTAGTTGTTTATCGGTTTCAAGTGTAAAACTAATTATTGTTGAATTACATAATCAACTTATATTATGGACATAAATTTTATTAGTAGTACTCTGTAAAAACCTAGTTAGATATAACATATAAATGATCATTAAGTTATATATTAGATTTACTAGGATTATGTTACATAATAGAAGAATTCACTACTTCCCCTAACAATTTGATGTTGGTTTAAATGTGAATATACTGACTATTATATCATCTACTAAAGAGCGGTGTTAAATCTATCGAAACGTCTCATTATGCGATTAAGGTATGCGCAAAACCAAAGCTCATATAACGGCGATTTATCTAAAAAGCCGTTCTTGATTAAACGATAGATATAAATTAGTTACAAACTTTAACTCATAAAGTATCTGTGGCGCTTAGTGCATCTGCAAGTCTGAAAGAAAAATGGATTCCTGCAATAATAACATCAAGAATAATTATGACAGCTGATAGCTATATCTAATCTTGATAACAGTTTATCAATAAGCAAAAACTGAACCAATAGCAAACATATATGTGAACCGTTGCGTTTAAACAAAGAATATTTGATCATACAAATCTTAGAATGACTGCTACGTGGGTTGAGATAAATACAATAATTGTTATTAGCGCATGTAAATATTTTAGAATATTACACGATATTCGCGCACAAATTGCTAGGAACACAACTATTTACTGGATACTAATAAGTAGTATAAAACAGTACACAAAAAAAGAGTTGACGAGAAAAGAATAAGGGCAGAGAACGTTAAAAAATTTAGTAGATGTAATGCCGCTTTCTATATATTTCAAGATTTTTATGATTTAATATTTCACAGTTTAATTGCTAAATAACTGTTGTTCTAAAGTGGTCAGAAACTAATCTGCCCTGATACGGCTGAGAGTGGGGAGGGTCAGCTCTCCCTCTCGAAATGCTCTCACATGGCCACGTGTATACAACCACTGTCAGGGAAGTCCTACTCACTGCCTTCTCACACCAGAGGATTTTGTTTACGGAATTGAGACAACCGAAAGCGAATTTCCGTCGCTTTAAACGAGTTGGTGGACACGGAGAATCCACCTAGGGGAGTTGGAATACCTTGATTCCAAACCAATGGTGCACATGGGTTGACTTCAGTATCCTGAAGGAACAAATGGCGTATGAACCAATCGTTGGTCACCGACTACCACGAAACTGCATCTCTTGACACTGCCTTGCGGATCATACTTTTAGGTTGAAGGCTCCGAGTGTGTTCCCCTAAGGACACCACTTGCTTTTGCTTGAACACTCGGGTAGCATCTCAGCCCTCACACACATCGAATGATTTGTGTGGTGCATATCTATTGGATGCCTCCTTGTACCAATGTTAACGTTTTTAAATAAAATAATATAATTATAAGAAACTAATCATCACTTAATAATTTTTCACTTAAATTAAATGTTATTTCACATGTGATTATATTATTTTGCGATGATGGAGAGTGGACACGGGGAACATCTGTCTAACAATGGTTGATTAGAAATTGTTCTGCAGTTAAAAACTTTTTTCTCTACCGGTATGATGCATACATAACTGGAATTTCGTTTCTGTTTATCAAAAGATAATTCGGATAAATATTTGTTTAAACTTTTCTAATGATTGGCGTTCTATCTTCTGATAATAACTTATCATTATTAGTTTAGGTTAACTCATTCATTAAATACTTAAGTATCAACTAAATTTTATGTATGTCGACTAATGTTACTACCCGTCTGTGTGTATACTGAAACAGTTGAGATAGAGTTGAGTTTAAACCTTATGCTTAGTGGGTTAAATTATACTCCCTAACTATTTTTTTGTTCTTCATGTTTAAAGGTGTTTATCTTTCTGATTTAACTTTTATTGATGTGGCTGCATCATCATCGTATAGTCGTCGTGAAAATAGTACATGGACTAATCAAGGTAAACAAGATCGAATTAATAATATCTTACGGATTATTGCAAATTTTCAACAATCCAACTATCGTAAGTGATGAAATATATTTGAATTTATATAGTTTTAATACGAGTAGTAATAGTAGTAATATTGGTATCGTTATTCCTTAAATAAAGCAAGAACGATTTTTATTATGTTCTTACGATCAAACGCCCTGGTACCATCGAGAGTGGGAAGAGTCAGCTCTTCCTTTCGAAATGCTCTTGCATGGCCACGTGCATACAACCACTTCCAAGGAAGTCCTATTCACTGCCTTCTTACACCAGAGGATGTTGTTTACGAAATTATTAGGACGAATAGCGAATGTCCGTCTCTTTAAACGGGTTGGTGGACACGGATTCCATGGGACTGCATCTCCTGACGTAGCTCCACTGCCTTGTGGATCAGACCCTTAGGTCAAAGGCTCAGGGTGTGAAGCCGATATGAAAAGCATGAGTAACAACTCGAAAGGATTGCCTAGGACAGGGTTGGATGGAGAATGCTAGTGAGAGGCCTATGCTCCTTTACGAGGAGTAACAGGCGTAAGTAAGTAAGTGTAAGGAAAAGGTCAAAAAATGAGTAAATAACCAGTAATCATCCAGTTGCAACGTAGAATCTGATACGTTTATACATCGGGTCAAGTCTCCATACCCTATTAGAACAGAGAAATGAAATTGTGAGGACAAATCTCAGTATAGTGAAGTTAGTTATTGTATTACTGGTAATAGAAAAGAATAGACATCGAAGGTTCAATTCAAGAAAATATATATTGGTGTAATAAATACAAAAAATAATGAGGAATTCAGAAGTTTAAGATTTAAAGGAAGATATAGAATGAATACACCAATTTTGAGATGTTCCACTTAACGTTCCTAACTATTGGTTACAATAATAACGCGGATGCTACCCAGATTGTTTATAGCTATTATCATGGGTCAGTCCAATTGTCAGTAACTTTATGGATTGATGCCATGTTTTAGTTTGGCTGCCACTAACCTTCTTCCAACCTACTCCTACACCAGACATCTCCCGTCGAGGTAAGCGGTTGTTGGGCATACGTATTAAAAGAGACATTTCGACTGAAAATGTTAAAGAATTCATCTTAGTTTTACGAGAAATATGATCACCATTAACTTCCGTTCTGATCCATGTTTATTAACCAGTTAATACACTGAGTTGTATGCTTTCTAAAACCTCAACTAGGGGATTTATGATCTTAGTCCTACACAGTTATTTTTTCATACTAAGATGTTATCTCATAAAAAGACTACCTATCTGCTTCTTTCACTCAGTTCTAGTGTTGACAAATTACGGTCCATATGTGAACTGCTCAGATGGAATTTTAAAATTCGTTCACAAAGGTACTGGTTAATTATATGTCAGTTTCACATTAAATTATCATTTTAAAAAATACTGTCTTCCTTTCTTTTTTATATTATATTTGAATTTCATCAGCTTTTGTTCGAAATGAATCCATAGCCAGTTATTTGGAAGCACAACGTTACATAGAAGAACTTCAACGATTTATTGAAGATGCAAATTATAAATTATCTATTCAATTAGAACCTTTACCTACATCATCTCCACCAGATCTATCACGTCAAAATACTGTCCCACCAAATTATTCATTTCTAAGTAATAATGATAATATATTAAAACCTGTGCCAATTTATAATTGTACAACAAACATTACTTCCAATTGTGATACAATAACAACAACAACAACAACTACTACTACATTGTCTTCCATTAAAACTACCACATTATCATTATCCTGTAAAACTATAAATAACAAAACAACGGGAACAAGGCATACTAACAAAGGTAATCCATCTAATTCAACAGTGAATCAACTTGAAAAACAAATCAAATCCAATTCAATATTATACGATTTACTTGAACCACCAATTATACCTCCACCACCTCGTGTTAAACAAACATATTCTCAAGAAGATATTTCAATGCCATCAAGTATTCATTGTTTAACATCAAACCATTCTGTGGTGAATTCAATTCAACGGCCTCGAAAACGACCAACTCATCGAAAACTAGGCAGCTGGGGAGGTAAGCGTTGATTGGTTTAAATTCTTTACTCCATCAAATTACTTATGAATCATAATTAAAATTTTGTGTGACACGATTATTTATTTATTGAAACATATATAGACATTGGTACAAGATGGCATCAAATAGATATGCGCCACATAAATCATTCGATTTGTGTAAGGGCTGTGATGCTGCTCGGGTGTCCAAACCGAAGTAGGTGGTTTTCTTAAGGAGCCACACCCGGAGCCTTCGACCTAAAGGTCTGATCCACAACGCAATAGAACAACGTCAGGAGATACAGTCTCATGGTATCTGGTGATCAACAACATGTCCATACTCCATTTGTTCCTTCGGGAGCCAGCCCATGTGCATCATTGGTTTAAAATCACTGTTTTCTAACTCTCCTAGGTGGATCTTCCATTTCCACCAACCCGTTTAAAGAACCGAACATTCGCTTCTCGTGTTGTCGATTTCGTAAACAACAGTAATGCCGCGAGAAGGCAGTGAGTAGGACTTCCCTGACAATTGTTGTATGCATGTGGCCATGTGAGAGCACCTGGAGATGAAGAGTTGACCCTCCTTACTCTTAGCCGTACCAGTATCTTGATATGACATATAAATTTAAGTATTTTTCCTTCTTCGGTATACTACTCTAAAATTTCTATACAATAATGAAACTGGTCTGGGTGACAGAGTTTATAACAACGTTAGGTTGATTACGCAAATTATCCGCTGTATACAAACCGAAACACGTTATATCACATACCCGGTTCACGATCAAAACTATAGAACCAGAGTAAATCCAAACAATACCATATTCCACAAAGTTACATACAGTCACTTTCAATGAGTCCAGAGTAGAAGTCATTAAGAGGTAAGGAAGCCACATATTTAATAATAATTAAGCTGAATACCTGATTTTTTTTCTAAAACTCAGTGACCAATCACATTGATCGACCCACTTTTTCCATAGAACATTTAGTTCAATGAATTGTGATTAGATTATAGTATGCCTATAAGCATTTATTCTTCCAAATTCAATATAAAAAATTCATTAAAAGTTGATCATCAAAGAATATACTTCTTCTTTATTTGACTAATTAAAACAGTTTTTTTTAAAAAAAGCTTTTTACCTTACTAGGTGGAACGGAAATGACTCTTTTAGAGCTTAATGGCTATTGGTGAACTGAAATGTCCTCTTTCTTTGTTTTGAAGGAGGCTTTGATGATCCTTGGTCCATGTGATTCCCATCCTATAAGTGTATTTTGTGCTTGTTTGGACAGCATCAATGCAACTCCTTGTGTATATGAAGCACTTTCTTCTTCATGACCGGAGTATAACAGAAGCTCCCTTGAAGTTAGTCGTTGTTGTCCAGCCTGTGTCCAATGTGTTTCTTTAATTCTAAGCACCTCCAGGTTGTATCTCTTCATTTCTGCAGCAATTTGGTAGACTCTCTCGGTGTCCCACATTGTACGAGCATTCCATGTACCTAAATAAATGGTTGCTCTGGTTGTCAGCAGCGGCGTCAGCCTCTTGACTTCCGAAGGAACTTGGGTTTCACCATGAGGCGTGATAACTCTTCTAAATGGAGACTTTCTTACCAGCAGGGAAGAGTTTAAGTGGTTTGAATTGTTTTTCCTGGTTATCGTTTTAGTTTTCTACGGGATGGGGTCTCTAACCCCATGCCCAACCCTCCTCCTTTATCCGGTCTTGGGACCGGCAGTAGCCTCAGATGGGCTCCAGACGGAGTTGATATCATTTTAAATGTATGGGATCATTGTTACTTGGTTCATGTGTTAGGGTTTAGGTTAAACTTATATAATGTGATTACTAGTCATCTCGTGTGTTTATTCAAATCTTAGTTGGTTTACACTGGATTTGAAGATGTTGACTGGTTAAAAGTGGTGTCAGAGCCCTACATCATTGTACAATTGCTTAATATATTATAACACTCAGTAGGTATTGTTTTTAGAAGAAACTAAGGGATTTTCAATAGAATAAATTTTTTATTTCATTTGAAAACTAAAACATAGTCAGAAACTTCAGATAGGCACCTTTGGGGAGTATCTTTATGCTTTCTATTTCTTACAATCTCATTCAGCTGAATATCTTTCAACATCTATATACTGAAATTCAATCCTGAAGATTTTGTTCTTCAGTCGAACTTAATTCCATACTTACACTACCAATATCTAGGTTAATCGTTTTTGAATCTTCAAATAGACAGACAGTTAAGCGTGATTATTTTACACACTGTTCACTTGAGATTCTATGAATACTGATGTTTGTAGCATGTATGTTTATGGGTATCAAAGACATAGTATACATCTACAATACAAGATTTTAAAGTATTTATTGATGAAATGAATTGTATAGTTTTAAAAACAGCATTTACTCACTAAAGATCTTCTTCTTGTAATTTGAAGCCCTGTTTGAAGAAACCACCAATCATTACTTCACTGTTTTTAAAGAGAGAAAAAAAACTGTTTCCCTAAGCTCTCCATTTACTTATGTATTACTGTATATAGTTAAGCTTATTATGTATGAAACTCATCAAATCGGCTATATATATATGTATATGCATATATTCATTTGTTTATTTTCATAAAGGATTCGGACTATTATTCTGTGATAATGATACAACACCGACTATTGATAAAGTAAGTTTTTTTCCTTGTTTATGATTAAATAACGATATACCTCTTTCATTTCTGTTTGTTCATCAACTCCTTACAACCTATGCTAAATGATTATTCAGAGTGAATAAAGCGATCTGAAGGCTACATATACGTATTTTAGTTTAGAACTATACTCATTTGTAACTTGTTAATAAGTTGATCTCGACTTCTATTAGAATTATTTGAATGATCTTCACTGCCTGATTGTTCACATCTTAAAAGAATACTTCTTGAAGTATTTAAATAAGAAATTGATCTGAGATTGGGATCTCAGTGCTCATAGAACAGTTGTTTTGTGAGTAGCTTTTAATGTTTCAGTTTCATAAAGCTTTACTCCTGACAATAGAAATCTGAGAATTATCCCAGTATTGTTCAATGTTGGTATTATGAATCTGTAAGCCTAACCATTATATTAAAGTCGCGGTTATGGTTAGAACCAATAGTTGACTGGTGTTGGAATAACGTTTTCAGTAACCGAGAACTACTTAGGAGTCCCCATATTTTGATCAATCGTTTTGTGTTTATCTATCCATATAAATTCCAATGACTGAAAATTCCATCTATGTTGCATAATAGTAATTATTATTATTATTATTATTATTATTATCTGAGTATATATATATATATATTTGAAGGATAATTAAGGGTATGGCAACTCGAATTTATGTACGTACGTACGAAGTCCTACGTCGTTACTGACTGACCTATAGATTATCTTTAACAAACAATACTTTTACACAACATTAGCATATTGAAATAAGATTTACAAGATAAATACTAGAGTAGTAGGGATAGTAACAGTGTGAGTGATAGTGGTAAACGCTAAACATAAATAAAAAACTTTTATAAACAAAGATGGATAGTGGCTAGCAGTGGAATCCAAGACGGGCGTTTCTTCCAATTTGGGACTCGTCAGTTGAATGTACCTCCATCTCGGAGTTGTTGTTCACTTTGGGACTCGAACCGAGTACCATTCGCTTCAAACGTCATCGCGTTATCCACTCAGCTACTGAGTCCTGACAGCCACTTACTTGTGCAATGCTGTGAATTTAAATTCACTTGGTACTGAGTTCTGATAGACTGATCAATTGCAGTCTTAAACCTGAAACAATACCAAGTGAATATAAATAAAACACTTCGAAAAAAAAGGAAGGAATTCACTGGAAAAAAGATACAAAATAGTTTTAAAACTCAAGATTAAATACATTTGGGGCAATGTGATCAGCTCTGATATATATCAGCCATCATTTCCAACCATTGGTTACAATAATCGCGCGGACCCCAACCAATTAGCCCTCACTTATTAACATGGCTGAGACCGCCACTCAACGACTTCATGAACTGATTGTGTGTCGTGATTTGGGCAATCTAGTTTTTTACCTACCTACTACTACGCCTACACTAGGGTTATTATTATTATTAGCTTTACTCAATATTATATTATTGGTTTTTCAACAAGTTTCCATTTTTTACTTCTTGGTCGATCCTGACGATAAATATTGAGTGGTCGCCAGTTAGTAGTTCAATCAATCGACATCTAAATAATGCATATTGCCAGCAACCACGATATCTCTGATTGGGCCTTTTGTAACTTGTGCAAAGAAAGGTTGTACAGTTTTCAGAATAGGTTATGCAATTAATAACCATAATGATGTAATAAAACAAACAAAATTAGATAACTTGTTAAAATATGTAGATGACAGGAACAGGTGGCCCAGATATTCAAGCAGGCCGATACATCATGCATCGAAGTAGAAGGTAGTTAGTTATATATAAAACTTGTCCCAATCACCTTATAGAAGGTTTCTGTAATCTTTTTAATTGAAGAAAATAATACATATAACAGATAGGCGCCAAAATCGTTATTTCACATTATCATTACGTGATTTTCGGTTTTGTGTTGATCTCATAGATCCATTGCTAACTTCTATTTAATTTTTATATGTTTCCTTAGTTAACGTCAATTATTTTCCACTATGGAATTATGTGATGATTTCTTTTTTATTTAATCTTCTTTATAGACTGAAAATAAACAAAATTTATCTACTTCAACTACTACTACTAATACTGGTAGCAGTAGTCAACTTTTACCTCGGTCACCACGTTTTAATAGGAATATGAAATTATCTGTTAATAATGTGTAAGTCGCTAATATATATATATATATATATATATATATATATATATATATATTGAACGGAAATAAATTAAGTCCTAGCGGAAGATAAAGAACCCATACGTCTAAATCATTGTAATCAATTTTCAGTCATGTTCCTCAGTATCCCCAACTACTGGTTGCATGGATCTTAACTAGGTACACCGTATCTACTAGCATAGCTCGGTCCAACACTCAGTGTTTTCATGGTCTAGTGTCACTTTTTATTCTGGCACTCCTAACCACCTTTCAACCTGCTCCTATTCCAACCAACATTGCCTGTCGTGATATATGACAGTTGAGCACGTTGAGGCTAATTTCCTCTATAACTGACTCCAATAAATGATATCTCGTTAACTGAGTATTTTAGGTAGGCTAAATCTCCTAGTAGAATTATGGATTTACTCGAGGTTATTCAGAAGCTTGAACACCAGTTGTAGAGATATTTTTATTGTTCAAGATTAATAAAATCCACAACCGTACAGCGAGCAAGCACACTGTGAAACCACGAGTGTGTGTGTGTGTGTGTTTAAAATCCATATATATTTTTGAGTGTCAATCAAGTGTGGATGAATTATTGATTATGTGAATGTTACAACCAATAGGAGAATTATTATTATTATCGTTAGCTTTATTCAATATTATATTTTTGGTACAATATAGAATTCTCAGCGCAAAGTGTTTCAACAAGCTTCCGTTTCTTTCGTCTTGGTCGGTCCTGGCGATAGATATTGAGTGATCGCCAGTTAGATGTTAGCAGTTCACTAAATGAACTAAATGAATAATGTGCATTCTTTTCGTTGTATATTGCCAGCAACCACATTGTCTCTTATTGAGTTTTCTGTAACTTTGACAACGAAAGGTTGTACACTTTTCAGAAACGCAGCAGAATAGGTTATGCGATTAATAAACATAATGATATATTAAAACAAACAAAAATAGATAACTTGTTGAAATGTTTAGATGACAGGAACGGGTAGCTCAGATGCTCAAGCAGGCCGCCAATTAAGGTTGTGTGCAGACACGCGCTCAATCATACACACACAGAAATTAACATAGTGAATTAAGTGTGTGAATTACAGTGAGTAGACAAATGATACAATAGTTGAATGGGCTTGCTACAGCATACTTATCGTATGACTGCACCACTTCATTTGATGAAAATTCACAATCAGTGTTGACTATTACGCTTCGTCTAACTTCAATATTGCTCACTTAGTTGTCCCAACATATGTCGAAAACAAATATGATCAAGAACCAGCAGTTTACGCATGTCTACTATTTTTATGAGGTCACGTTTCAATACCTGTAGGGTAATAAAAAGTGGAGTGCTGGTCATTATACTCTCCCCTTCGTTGGAAGATAGAAATCTTTTTTTCGTCACGCTTGATAATCAGAATTTCACGTATCTTCCTTTCAACCCTGCTATTCTTTCTATGAGCCATAATTTTTCATTTCTTCAATAGTCTCTTACTGATATATATTTATAATTTTACTGCAATATTTTAATATCACACGTCACCACGAATAGCTCAGTGTTAACATCTCAGACTGTGAAGCTGGGTGATGCCTGTTTGAATTCCATAAGAGCATCAGTTCTTTTAAGACAGTAGGTATGCCTTCCAGACCAGTTCCAACTATCACAAAACCGAGATCCACGTCTTATTCTGAACTATCTTCAACCACTTAAAACCTCCATAACCCCACCCCTACACTAAATATACGAGTCTATCTCCTAACCATATATATAATCCATTTGAAGAGCTTAGTTAGTGGTTAGCATTTTTTAGCGAGTTAGTTTTCTACGGGATGTGGTCGCTAACCCCATGCCCAACCCTCCTCCTTTATCCCGGGCTTGGGAACGACAGTGGCCCCAGAGGGGATCCGGGCGGAGTTATACGTTTATTTGTCTAACTTATTTATTTGTTGTACAGTTACCTTTGTACTTATTGTGTTTTTTCGCTTGTCTATATTTATTACTTGTCACAACCCTTTCCTGTAGTGAATCTCCGAAAAATCCCTTATCCAATCAGAACCATGGATTCATCAACAAATCTTCACCTACAATACTCAAAAAATATATGAATACTACTAATAATAATAATGATAGTAATATTAATACCAATATCAAAACTTCTAAACAACGCAATGGTGATATCAATTTAATGTTTGATCATTCATCGTCTAATTCTTCGACATCTTCACCTCACCTTCTTGTATTCACTGATTGTTTAAACAATCCAGATAATAATAATAATAATAAACAATCAATAAAAAAAGAGCAAATGATTTCTGACAATTTAACACCTATTTATTCATCATCATTATCATCACCTTCATCATCGCATAATTCTGTCATTGAATTACAATGTATTATGGAATCAAAATCAAAGGATTCACAAAATCAATCATCTATATTCCTTCATGATATATTCAATGCAAAAACTGCTCCTGTTACACCATGTCGTAGAATAAAACAACATCAACACAACTATACTACTAAAATATCAGATACAGGAATATCAAATTATGAACAGAAAAAGTGTACAAATATCACTACTACTACTACTACTACTACTACTCCTGACAATGATAATAATAATAATAATAATAGTACTAGTAGTAAGCATAAATCTTCTACAATGCTTGTTACTAATACATCATTTAAAGATTTCAATAACGGACATTATCAAAGAAAGAAAAATCTATCCCATTGTAATGCATCTACTGAACGTAAATTAACTACAAGACTTTAGATTAAATTGAGTTATTGTTTTACTTTCTATTCATTTTTCAATTATGTTGACATATACAACTAAATTAGGAAAGAGATAGGTAGAGAGAGTCAATGAATGGGATTAAATCCTATGTTTATGCCTTCCCCCCTCCCAAAAAAAAAATTTTCTTTTTGTCTATGTATTTAAGGTGTTGTTTTTTTTTAGACTCTGTACATACCGAAGCATTTATATGGCCTAATATAATTAAATGTACATAGTAAGTAAAAGAATTCAATGATACATTTACACCGTGTGAGTGTATGTGGGTGGGTGGGTAGGTGGGGATATTAGCTACCACTATTGTTGTTATGCAAGACTCATTTCATTTGTTCATCATAGCTACATATGATTTGTTACTTTTGTTTCCATATTTATGTTTGTATAGATGTTTATGCACTTGTATTCACATATCTTATTGATTTTTCACCTATGTGTTATAAAAGGAATATATATATATCCCATTGAAAATTTCTCGATTAGTATAAGATTTCAACAGGTCATGTCAAGATTTTCATATGATATCTAGATGGTTCAATATTGAAAAGGCGTTTTTTTATGGTTGAATACTCTTGATTTGTTTACATCACTTATTCCTACTGTATGATTTCAACTCAATGATTCAATAGTATTTTGTTTATCACAACGATATTGTCTTCAGTTCCATTTTATGTAGTTGCTTATTAATAACAAGTTTTATTCAAGAACAGAACAACTGTTCAGGAAGTTAGCTAAAATTGCTAAAAAATAAATAACACATACTACTACATAGAAGATTATAAAGAGAAAAGCAACATGCATCAATTGAATCATACTTGACGGAGAAAATTTGGGAGATGTAAAAACCTTTACATATCTGGGGAGCATCATTGATGAACATGGAGGATCTGATGCAGATGTGAAGGCGCGGATCGACAAAGCAAAAGCAGTATATTTACAACTGAAGAACATCTGGAACTCAAAACAATTGTCAACCAACACCAAGGTCAGGATTTTCAATAAAAATATCAAGATAGTTCTACTGTGTGGGGCAGAAACCTGGAGAACTACGAAAGCTAACATCCAGAAGACACAACTGTTTATTAACAGTTTTTCTACGCAAAATACTTCGGATCTGTTGGCCAGACACTATCAGCAACAACCTACTGTGGGAGGGAACAAACCAGATCCCATTGGAGGAAGAAATCAGGAAGAGGCACTGGAAGTGGATAGGACACACATTGAGGGTAGCACCCAACTGCGTCACAAGGCAAGCCCTCACCTTGAGATCTTCAAGATCAAAGAACACATTACGCCGAGAAATTGAGATAGACAAACATGAGAAAAATGAACAAAAATTGGATAGAACTAGAAAGGAAGTTGAGGACAGAGTGGATTGGAGAATGCTAGTCGACGACCTATGCTCCATTGGGAGTAACAGGCATCGAAGTCGAAGAAGACTACATAGAAGATATATTCATAATTCTATTGTGTCACATTCCTGCTTTTCACATTGTTGAATGCATTTTATTGCTACTAATATTATCATTATTCACAGTCATTTTCACTGAATCCAAGAGTTACTTTTAATCTTTTATGTTGATACACGTGTACTGTGTGTGTGTGTGTCGCACCAAACCATGCACTATAATGATTCTTTGTTAAGTAAAATAGCAAACTTGTTTGTCTATCGTATTCATGTAATCATTGCTTAATCTACGTTTCATTGCACTATGAGTTTTGTGTGTTTATCAATGATGAGCTTAAATTATCATATTCATATGCATTCATTATCTCACTTGCACCTATATAAATTATGTTTAATACACATAACACTTTCATTTCGATTTATACTGAGATTCTTCTTCATTTTTTTTTTCACTTTTTAGATGGGAAGAAAATCTCTGTTGCTAAACAATTACTTCATAATTTTCCACTTAGTAATTCACCTTCAATACTCCATCAATCATTGTTTATATCACCTCAAAAAGATCATTCATTTAATATTTGTACTACATCATTAACAAATCATATTGATCCAATTCATTATCGTCTTTCACAAACATTTCCATTTGTATTGCCTACATCAAAAATAAGATCATCATCGTTACATTTACCTAAGTTATCATCATATCAACAACAATCTCAACATTATTGTTCTACAAATCTATCTCATTTAGCCTTAGCTGCTCTTGCAGCTGCCCAAGTAACAATTTCTAATAATAATAATAATGATTATAAACATATTACACATGATGAGAATGTTACTTTTGTTCATCGTCATCATTATTCCCCGGTTTTAATGTCAACATCGAATGTTTCTCATTCACAATCCTCTCCAGTAAACTCAACTTATTTAAATATAAAATTAGCAAATAATTTAGAAGTAATTCGAGAAGTAAGCTTCTTTTTTGAACATTTCATGTTTTGCTTAATCTTTTTGTGCACCTTTTTCGAGAAAGTTGAGGTTAGTGTTCTGCTGTTTGACACTCGTAAGCTACTAGTATTTGACCACAGATGCCTCAGAAATATTGCTCGCATCTGCTGGGATCACTGGATAAGTAGTAGTGAGGTTAGATGCAGGAATGATGGTAAATCAGTCGATGAAGTTGTGAATCTTCATCGGCTGAGATTGTTAGGCCACGTGTTACGTATACCTGAACACCGATTACGACGACGCGTAATGCTGACTTGTGTTGGGAATGGTTGGAAGAAAGTTAGGAGTGGCCGAAGTAAAACATGGCATCAGTGCTTGAAGTCACTAACTTCGGGTCTTAGCCATGTTGGTAGTTGCAGACTACTTGGTTGTAGTCCGCGTGACTATCGTAACCAATGGTTGGAGACTCTTGGTGACATGGCTCAGAATCGACCACAATGTCATCGGTATATACATAACATTTCAGTACATATATGTTTGTAAGTAGCTGATGAGAAATCATGAAACATGAGATCATGTTATTCTGCCTCAATTGTTATTTTGGCTTCATTCAAGTTAATAAATAGAACCAATTGTTATATCTTGTGGCCTTGTGTCCTATTAATTTATGACATAATGATACCTTCAATTAGAGAACAGTGATTTATCGACCGGACCAATGACGCATAAAACTCGTACGAACAGTCTACAGTCTTTATCGGTCCTGGTTCCCGCCTAGCTCTGCTTATTAAGTCTAGAACATCAATCTCAGGTTCTGCGATATGAATCATATATTTCAAACATACTCCGTTTACATACAAACCAAACAGACCATATCGTACCGTAAAATAGAAAATAACATTTGTACAAGATCCAGTGAAAAGTGACTGTGAATGTGGGGGACAGTAATTGATAGACTGGGCATAACTCCAGAATGGTAAATCGTATAATAACAGGGTGAGACTATAATCTATGGACGACCTATGAGCGACGCCAAAGGGACCTTGAGAGCGTTTACCCACTTACTAGGGTCAAATGAGGGTCATAAAGCCATCTGAAGAATAAGGATTATGATTTACAGTTGATGGTTAGGGTTACGAAATTAGATTTAGGGTTTTCATCACGAATTAACATCAGCTATAACGCCAAGTGTTATAATCTCTTTCTTACGGTTATGACAGCTATTCCCATTGCTTAGTATTCTCGGACACCGATTCACTCGACAAGTCCCCAAATCAAAACACGGTTGAACAGGAAAAAGATTATCTTCCAAAAAACAAGGTTAGATGGAAGTAAGACGCACAATAGGAAAAACGTTAGTACGTTTATAGTTTTTATACGAGAAGATTCTAGAGTGTTCTCCAACCATCGAATAGTGCTGATTGAACAAGAATTAGCCAATCAGCGTTCACCAAAGCAATCGTGCATTGAGCATAGTTTAATCCAGTCTATGTCCCGCTAACACCAAGACTCTATTTAACCAAATGGGTGAATGAATTTCGCGCCAAAATCTGAGATCTGTTATCGTAAATCTGATTGGTTTGTCCGTAAATTATAGTCTCACCAATAATAGTTTTGATGTGAACAGAGAAACAAGAAACCTTGACAAACTGCGGAAGCTATATTATGGGACGTTATTTCGATTCATTCAGAGCTTGTAAAACAATAACATTTATTTTTGTCCCTAATCTATTCAACAAATCATAAGCTTTCGTTTGATGTATGATTCACTGTTATAGCCCTTTTCTGTTCCGAAGCTATTGTAATTTAAACATATTATTTTGTACTCTATTTTCTACGCTAATCTCCAGTCTCGAACATAATTGTATATTTTCTAATTACTGTGCTTTGTGGTCGGGTTAATCATCTACTTATTCATGTATCTTTTTACACTGATCTGAAATCTGGAACCAGATCGGAATCGAGTAGTGTTCCAGTTGACTTGTCTTCTCTCACTCGCGCGCTTGTTAGCCAATCAGGTGATAGAATAGTTTTCTTCTATCTACCCCACTTCGAACTCACGCGTACCAGCCTCAAGGTTAAGCCGGTCAGCCTATCGCGCCAAAGTCTTAATCTAGATAAGACGAGTTATCCTCAACACCAAAAATGGGTAGACAGATCAAGAACGTAACAAGTTCATGGGTCAAAATAAGGCTTATCATAAGAGGGACACGAATATGAATAGTTTAATTGTTTAACAATTATACGATAAAAATATACGAATAGTATTAGTCCAGAAATACATTCCAACAGTTACCATTCATTATTCTCATCGGGATATAACACCAACTGGATGAAATTTCTGAAGAGTCACCTCCGTGTTCATATTTCGAAATCACTCAGTGGTTTTGTAACAATCCATTACAGAATTCCTAAAGAAACGAGATCAAAGTGTTTTTGGACGATTGTCTAATCGTTTGTCAACTTGATTCTCACTATTTCAAATTGTTTCAATTAGTAGGTATAATGAAAATTACGTGTGTGTTTTTTTAGTTCAATTAGAAAATGGTTTGGATTATCCCGTCGTTCACATTTTTGACTAAAATTTGATCAATTTTGGTTGGTATATATGTACATCTTATGGATCGCCTCAACATACTCATCTATTTTATAATGAATATGTTTTCATAATTCAAAACTAACCTTAATTCATATTTATCTGTGTAGTCTGAAGAAGTGAGTTATACTAAGTCACGAAACATCAGAAACACAAATTTCTACTCATCGGGATATATTTATAATTGGCGTTAATTCATAGATTCAGATTAGATATAATTAAATAATGCTAATGTTACGCTATAATTATTGTCTCGTATTTTATCTCTAGGGTCCTTTACTATGTTGTACTACCTCTTTAACATCATTTAAAATTGCCAAGTTCCATAATTCATCATCAATCAGTAGTAGTAATACATCATCATCACCACCAGCACCACAATTGTCAACTTCATTTACAGATCATTTCAATATTTCCACGATTCCATTTTGTCAAACTCTTCATAATATGAATCCATCAACTTTGGACTTACAAGTAAATAATAATCAATCATCAATAAAACAACAAAATAAGTTAAATATACATTCACCGCCTACTATTACTGCTAATCTTTCATATTCTTATTCACAAACTTCTTTATCTTCCATGACGTCTACTTCGTTATCGTCTTCCTCTTCTTCGTCTTCCAATAATAATAATAATAATAATAGTATCCATGATGATGAACAATCTACAGACTATAGAAATGAACATTTATCCCCTCAATTAATTTCTACTAATTGTCATTGTAAATATTTAAGAAAATCTTTATTTTCACGTACATTTTATAAAAAATTTAAAAATTATTGGGCTGTACTACTTATTTCATTAAATAATAATAATAATAATGAATATGCTTTTTTAGTTTTATTTAAAACTCATACAAAACAATTAATTTCATGGTCATCTATTTTATCTTCACAATTGAATAAAACAAAAATGTATAAAACTCAACTTCTTTTCAACTCACCGAATTATGTAAGTTTTTTTTTTTTGTGTTTTGATTTATTACTTTTAATAGTTATATCATTTGATGAATTGATACGGACGCAACAAATTCATATCAGCTAAGAGTGGAGAGAATCAACTCTCTCTCTCTCGAAATTCTCTCACATGGCAACTATCAGAGAAATTCTACTCACTGACTTCTCGTGGCGAAGATGTTGTTTACAAAATTGAGAAGATGAAAAATGAATATCCTGTGCTTTAGTCGGGTTGATAGACAGGGAGGATCTACTTAAGGGAGTTGAGAAAACCTGATTTAAAACCAATGGTTTACATAGGCTAGCTCCATTACCCCGAAGAAACAAATGGTGTATGAACCAGTTGTTGGTCACCGACTACCATGGGACTGCATTTCCTCGTATTACTCTATTGCCTTATGGATTAGACCTCGGGAAGTGGCCCTCTAAATAAAACCACGTTCTTCTTTCTGAGCGCTCGAGCAGTTTGACACGAAAAAAAAAACGAAAATAAATCTGCGATTGATGGTACGATGTACAATATCTCTATTTGCAACTTTGGTTAGATGTCGATTTAGTGGGTATTCACCGTTCAATACTATCAGTGATAACTGCCTGATTTTAAATGTAATTATCTCTTTAGGTCATGACAATTGAAGAAATAGAACTTCAGGAAATGCATTTCAAAGTTACTTTCTATGAAGTACAGGATGTCGATTCAGTTAGCTAGCTTCGTAAAGATTTATATGTGCACCGTTTATTCCACTTGTCATATCACTGTTGTAGTTCAAGTTCAGAATGCCTTTTATTCGTTTACATCATGAACTAACTTAGAGCTAGATAATCATTGAAAACAAAGGATTACTGGATAAATGCTTCGTTTCCAGTAAAAATTAACTTGATAACCTCTATTTACAATCTGTCTAGGAAACATAACCAGAGCTTCTAAGTCTCGTGACCAGTGCGTTACTGTAAGACCATTGTTAGCTCACAACTTTATTCAAATTTTCAGCGATGAATCTATCCTAGTATTATACTTCAACACTAGAATAGTTAGTAACCGAAATTTCATTCCTGTCCTCAATTATGGGGCTTGGAGACAATAGATGTATATTATGATATCCTTGCTTGTCAGCACCAACCAACAAGATCTGTTAACAACCTGTTATTCGAGTAAAATGAGAAGTATCACGAAAGTGTACAATATACTTCTCTTCTTGACTTTATGGTTAAAGAATATTGTGTAGTAATTTAGCAAGGGTCTAAAAACGTGAGTTCTAGGACTTTTTCAATGGAATAGGTTAGGGTACTCTTCCTCTACAAATGACATATAATCCTTCTTTTGACAATGAAGAAGTTGACTCCTTCAAGACAATCTATTGTCATTCATTGCACAACATACTTAACCATATATTTGGCTTTGTATATCACTTTTTCAAATGTCTTATATCGATTAGCTACCATTAGTTTGTATATTTGGGTCCCACTAAGTTAGTATCACTAGCTCAAAAATATAATTACGTGAATCTGCATATTTTTTCAACAAGTTGCGTTATATTGTTATGAATTCATTTATCTGAAGCATCAAACTGTCCATAACACTTATTTACGTAACACAATAGACTGTAATACCTTTAATGTACATCAGAACGGCTCTTAAATTGATAAGTCTTGCAGACTGAACGCTATATTCAGTTCCTAAGCTCTTCTAGTAACCCCCAAGCTAGAACTCTACAGCGACCCGAACAGGAGAGAGAAGACTCAAAGTATGCGGGAAGTACTTTACTCCAAGGTTCATTTCAATACAGAAAATACGAGGCTTTTATATTTTAAATGTCCTTGGGTTGCTAGAAGATTTTGGAATGCTACTAAACACAGTAGCAGTGTAGCAATCAATCAATCCGAACCTTTGCATGTGACGTTTCACTTCCTTGATATTTTTGGCTAAAACTTCAAGTGAACGCTAATTGGATGAAACGCATCTTAGTGTTTTCTGATGCGTGCTTATCTTTTGCAAGAAATTTCCTGGATCACTTCAACATAAATTATAATAGAAGAGGACTGTTTTTTTTACGTTTTATTATTTCATGATTATCATTTGTTTTCAATCAATAATTTATTCTATATAACATTTGATTTCATTTATCTTAGTATTCAGCTAGTCGATGTAAAGTCTTACGTATACAAGATGCATGCTTTGATAATAATAATCACAATCATCAACCTCCATTGAAGGGTCATTGTATTCATCAAACTGTATTAGTTTTAGAAAATCATTCAAATAAAGAAAAAGTGTATCGATTAATGTCTCCAATTGCACAATATTCATGTATACAATCAATGACATGTAAAAATTCAAATAGAAGTTCTTCCAAAGTTATGGAACGTGCTGATCAATTTGGTGTTGCATTGAATTCCGATATTCAGGTAACTGTTGTTTTTTTTTGTTCTTCACCAGTTCATTTATATATACAACTTGATTTTGATATGGCCGCCTGTAGCTCTTCTAAAGTTACTGCTGGTCACAAGCCCGGGTAAAGGAGGTTTGGTCATAGGGTCGGCAACCCCGTCTTGCTAAGAAAAAACGCCAACCAGATTAAACAAATTAAACCATCTAAACTCTGCCCTCAGAGTTGAAAGAAGAATTATGACTCCTCAGGATAAAAGCCGAGATTCTTCCGAAGTCACGAGGCTGATGCCTCTTCTAACAGCCAAAACAACAACTTTTATAGGTACATGGAACATCCGGACAATGTGGGAGACCGGGAAGACCAGTCAAACAGCAATGGAAATGAGGACATAAAAATTGGCAGTACTGGGAATCATGGCCACTGAATTGGATATTAGAAATTTTCATTTGTGATTGTTAAACCTTAGTAAAAACAATTAATGTATTGGGGTTTCCTGTGGGTAAATTCCCTTTACGAATAATTAAAGCTTTTTCTAATACGACTCAACGAATAGAATAGACCGTACATCTGATACACAAAAACGCTTTAACTTTAATAATCCACGCATTAATGATGAGATAGTGAGAATGGGGCTTCTAGGATAACTTTATATCTCGTACAGAAGTCAAAAACTGGGAAGGAATAAGTCTGCTTATGTTGAAACATCCAATAATGTTAGAACACATAAAATAGCAAACGAAATATGACAACAATCAATCACGTAACAGCAAATATTACCATCATGGAGACTAGCATTTCGAAAAATATGTAATATGAGACTAAATAACCTGATCCTTTATTAGCACCTGCCGTGTTACGTTAGCACAAGACAGAATTATTAAGATAAATGGCAGTAATTGAAATAATAATAGCACCAGTGACTATAAGAAAGATAAGATACCATGAATATAGTTGGAGAGAAAAACTGAAAACGTATCCATGACGTAGTACTAGAAATCAAGAATGGATCTGTCACTAAGTTATGTCACCCAGTGTTCCCAACCACTGGTTGCGCGGCTCTTAACCCAACAGTTTAGTTCGAATGAAGCTAAAACAAACATTGATGCAGAATAACATGAGTCCATTATATGTCGTGGTTTCTCATCAGCTGCTTCCAACCATATATGTAGTGAAAGAGAACTAAGTGAGTGAAAACTTTTGCGAACTCTTCAAATCCTGTTCAATTATTTACGTAACCCATCTTATCAACCTTTAATTCCAGTAATCTTATGTAAACACTTCATAACCTCTAAAATTATCACACAATCTATCTCATCTGTCTATGGACCTTATTTGATTAATGCATCACCCATCACTTATGATTTCAATGCCTGTAACCCGTTTTTGAGCATATATATATAGTTATTATTGATAACCTTTATCATTCTAATTCATTTCGTTTATCTATGCTAATTGCTTCACTTTATACCTTAACTCATTGTTAACTTTCAATACATATCAATGGTTGTAAGCAGTTGATGAGAAACCACGAAATATAATAAATTTATATGATTCCGCATCAATGCTTTTTCAGGCTTTACTCAAATTCATAAAGGCAATCAATCGTATGAAATTTCTGAACACTTCATTTCAACAGTCAATGATTCCGTGTCTTAGTTTGACCGCTCATGGCTTTTGTGAAGCCTATTCCTATCTAAGCTAGTATTGTGTGTCGAGGTAAACGGTAGTCAGATAACTATTATTACTACGGCAGTTTGCAATTGAGCAGTGACGAGCGCCGTTCTTTAGGCTGATCGATTTCTATAGACCAGTTGAAACCCAAATAACTCAGTAGTGCAGTCTCGAACTGTGAACATTGGGTGATGCGGATCTGTACTCTAAAAGAAGTTAGAGTGGTGTTTTAGACTCTCCGTTATTGTATCATGTTGCACACTCTTATTTATCAAAGTAATAAAACACAACAAATAAATTTGAACAGAATTCAATATATGACCAGTTAGATAATCTTTTACAATTACTAACTACTTAGGAGTAGGCATCTAAAATATTCTGACTAGTTATTCACTATCTTGGAGAGCTTCTTAAGTTCTAGCGGAAATCTGTGACGTGAGTGGTGATACGTTTTATTAATCAATGATGGCCATGATATTTCAAGAGTTAGCTGAAGTCAGGAATGTGTACTATAGAATTTCAACTCAGCTTTTTCAAAGATATATTGCATTCGCCAACACATTTAAAGATCCCTGTTTCAAACTAAGGTGAAACGGTTATTTATTGTTTCTTGGCTTTTAGTTTTTATCTTGTAAGTTACAGTTCCTGATGAAAATGATCTTCAAACCGTATAAAATATCTTTGGCGAAACATTGGGCATAATTTAAAAGCTTTGCGTGATTATTTAACTTGCCTCGTCAAATTGATCGAAAACACACTAATGTGTTAAATTATACAAATGCACTACTGATGTTGCATAAAGAGTGACTATTCAATTTGTACATAAGGTTCTAAATTTGCTTGGTATTGTTTACTTGAATCCTCCCATTCATGTTTAGCACCACAACTGGTCAGTTTCTTATTGGTATATGTGCATTAGCTCGATATTGCCTTAATTCACAAGCATTGGAAGCAAAGATGGGTAGTGGCTAGCAGTGGAATCCAGGACGCGCGCTTCGTCCTATTTTGGGACTCGTCAGCTGGATGTATCTACATGTCGGGGTTGATGTTCACTCTGGGACTCGAGTCTAGTGCCGTTCGCTTCAAACGCCATTGCGTTATCCACTTAGTTACTGAGTCCTGATAGCCACTTGCTTGTGCAATGGAGTGAGAAGATTCAAATAAATCGCGGTACTGGGTTCAAGTCCCAGCGTGAACATCAACTCTGAGATGTAGGTACATCCAGCCGACGAGTCCCAAATGGAGTAAAACGCGCGTTCTGGATTCCACTGCTACCCACTATCTATCTTAGCTTATATAAGATTCTGTTTGGATTCATCTACATTGTAGATTGAAAGTATCAGCTACATTGGTCACGGTTTGAATATCATCACTGTTGCCCCCCTATTTTTCCATGTATATGCAATGTCCATTTACTTATTTTTTTAAGAAAAACTTTCACGCTAACTTAAATGAACAGACTAGATTTAGCTGTGAAATCTTTTAGCATAACAATATAACAATGTCCATTTAATGCTCTTCTCTATTCTGTATTGTCTATTTCATATTATAATAGATTACAAATAATACACATCGTGATCTGCTACCTTCTTGGTCATGGACTTCTAAAACGGTGCATCGATTCAGTCAAGTAATTAAACAAAAATTTGGCACTATTTCAAAAATAAATCGAAATAAATATGACTTGTCATCCAACATAACAACAACAACAAATTAACATTCCTCCTCCTCCTAATAATACTACTACAACTACTCCTACCGCTCCATCAAATGATTATTTATTAAATAAATCATTCCAATGGCTTCTTCCATTACTTACTCTATTCCCATCTACCTCACAACAAGTATCTAAGCATATGTTTCAAACACCATTTCTTAATTTATCCACAATGGAATGATCTCAATTTTTAAAACATTCTCTCTTTCTCTCTATCTGTCTGTCTTCATTCATTTTCAGTTTTTGCTTGTACAAATAAGATTTTTTTTTAATATATAAGCACATATGTGTAACAATTGGATAGTTATCATTTCCGTTAATTTACTTTATAATCTCTTATTTCTTATTATAGATTATTTGACTTTTATGCTATGGCAACTTGAACTAGATGTACATACGTACGTAGATACAAAGTTCTATGTTGTTGCTAACTGACTTATTGATTATTCATCAATATCATGATTATTTTGTTATCACCCAAACATTTACACACACACACACACACACACAAATCAATTGTTGGGCAAAATGTATAATAATAAAAAGAAAAATGATTACACAAAGAAATTTTTTTCTATTTCAATGATATAAAATGGAATCTTTTTTTTCTTTTCTTTTTTAATGAAATAAATCATTGAATTATTTATTGATTGATTGATTGACATGATAATTATGATTGTATGTTGGTTTTAATGAAAAAATCACTTTTTGATGGTCTAAATGCACCGGACATTGATGTGATCGAATCGAAATTGACACGTTCACGTATTTGTATTGATTTAATATTCTCTTCATGATTATTAATTAAAATAAGTTGATGATGATCAGTGATTTCGGACCATTCAAATTGTTTAATAAATTGTTTTAAATCATTCTCTGACATATCCAAAAAGCTCATTAATAAGGGTTTTGATATACGTTGATATGTTTGAGATATAATTTGGACAATAACTATATATGTATGTAGAGACAAAGAGAGACATAGAGATGAAAAGACCATGGAAATTATTTAAAGGAGAGAAATATATATACACATATATACAACTCTAAATATCCAATGAATGAATGGTGTATGAACCAACTGTTGGTTACTGGCTACCATGGGACTGCATCTCAGACGAGCCTTCCAAATGTCCTGATACATCCGAGAACGGGGAGAGTCAGCTCTCTCGAGAGAGAAATGCTCTCACATGCATACAACCACTACCCCAGATGTCCTACTCACTTCCTTTTTGCACCACGGGTTTTTATTTTATTTAAACACATAAACATTGGTACAAGAAGGCACCAAATACATATGCGCTACACAAATCATTCGATTTGTGTGAGGGCTCGGATACTGCCCGGGTGACCAAACCGATGCAGATGGTTTCCTTAGGGGGCCATACCCCGAGCCTTGACCTCAAGGTCTGACCCACAAGGCAGTGGAGCATCGTGAGGAGATGCGGTCCCATGGTAGCCGGTGACCAACGATTGGTTCATACGCCATTTGTTCCTTCAGGATACTGGAGCCCATGTGCACCGTTGGTTTCGAATCCGGTCAAAGCGCCGGACATTCGCTTTTCGTCCTCTCAATCTCGTAAACAACACCCCCGCCACGAGAAGGCAGTCAGTAGGACTTCTCTGACATAGGCTACCATGGAACTGCATCTCCTGACGTTTCTCCACTGCCTTGGCAATCAGACCTTTAGGTTGAAGGCTCCGAGTGTCCTTCTAAGAAAACCACCTGCTTCGATCTGGGCGCCCAGGCAGTATCACAAATAAAGTGACCTGTGTGGCGCATATGTATTCGGTGTCCTTTGTACTAATATTTGTGTTCAAATAAATAAATGACTAAGGAGCTAAGCTATTGAAATTATGAACTAGACTAATGGACATGTTGCGTAATAATAGGCCCTCAACCATGATTGGTTTGCAAAAATTTATAATGCGACTACGTTGCAGGTTCAACCTTGCTTCACCTACTTTGCTTTGGATGGAACCATTAGTCTTTAAATGTAAAATGTGGCTTACGGTTGAGTATACGAATCTGTGCTTGACAAGTGAATTATATCACCGGATTTGTATAAAATGTGATATGTGTTCCAGATGGAACCTTATTAATCCATTGAAAAATAATTAGAGGGATTTTGGTTTTAAAATTTACCTTACTGAAATGTATAATAGATAGTCACTGATTTTATCTCACATAGACTGATAAGGAGTAGATGAAGGTTATGCGCTCTGAAATACTATACGTTATTTGTGAATCATGCAGCCATTACTCTAACCAAAAAAGTGCGTCAAATCCAACTACTGGTTTCTTCAAACTCAAATGAGTTTTAGAATGCGTTACAGTTCAGGAGTTTTTAGATAGTTTCCCATCGATAAGCTAACATCACGTTTTAAACGAAGATTATTATTATGGCCACACTGAATGCATAGTGATAAGTCAATCCTTAATTTTTACCGAAAACTACATCACCGAACAAGTGAACGATTTGAATGGAATTTGAACTGATAATATCCAGTCACTTCCTGAACAATTCTGTAAAGAGAGTCTGTGCATTTCAAATTTGTTCATTTCCTAACTGTTGCTATCATATGTTGGTAGTCAGACCTGTCTGTCGTGATGACACACTCGAACTACAATGACAGCGAAACTTGTTCTTTTGGGTTTTACAATGCTAGATAGATTAGTTGGAAAACAGTGAGATATCCCCTTCCGACAGTCATGCAGTCTCCCCGCAATGTAACATAACACTACACTACCCCACAAGCTCATGTCGTCAGTGGAAAGGTACTAAAAGTATAGAGGTAACATTAAAAACTACTCTCAAAAAGACCATGCGTAAACAACAGCGAACATGTGTCCCGTGGGCTGCGCATTTGCACTCTCAAATTAACAAAATCACTAATATACCACTTTCCTTCCCATGAAGTATGCCTCAACAGTGCGTGCGACCGAGATGTGATGACCAACCACACATCTCAACCAGAACACAAGATTACCTTGTTCAAGATCGAATCGCACGTCCACTTCCTTATAATTATCTACCCCTCTACAGTTTTATCACCATGCCTCATCAAAGCCGATGACTGAACTTCAGGAAGTGTCATTTTTGGTCTTCGGAAACTACACTTAAAACTACATGGTGAACCTTTTAAGTTTCAAAGTTTGATTCAGATCAGAAAATAGGGTTCAAATTAAGTATGAATTGTGGAAATAATCTCAAAAGTGTATTAATGAGTTCCTGTCGCATTTTTTTAATATATCGTATACCTGTAGTGGATTTTTTCTCTGACCAACTACCTAACTTACAACGGCTTTTATTTTAGCCACAGTAAAATCTCACCCCTTCAACATGACGATTTTGACTAGCCTGCCTGTACAGCACTTGACTATGTATCTGGTAATTTATCTTTTTAGTAATCTTTGAAGAAATACACTGATTAACATGGGCATAGAAGAACCTAAAGAGACGTGTTCCAGCCAATATTCACAAAGGCAATCAAAAGAAAACTACACTAAAGTAGCAGCTATGGTTGCCAAACTTAGTCTGAACACAAATGCTTAAATCACTAGCTTACCATTCTTCTACAGTGGATGAGTGAATTATGATTACCCAAACAAGAACACAGCACAATATCAATTTGATGAACATATTATTTGTCAGAGAACAACTAAAATACTCAATCAGCAGTGCTTCAGGAGTGGTCGGCATCAACACCTGAACTAAGGATAGAGAGTGAAATAGTTGAACGCGTTGACAACTTCATTTATTTGGAAGTTTGATCAGCCCTAACGGGTTGGTGTCTGACGAAATCTATACAAGGATTCGAAAAGCTTGTTTGGCTTTTGTCTCAACTATAGCAAGGGTGAGATAACCGTCTATAGATTAAGGGATGTGTATACTGTACAGCAGTTCGTTCTGTTCTACTTTACGACTGTGAAACGTGGCTAATAACGGTAGATACTCGTAATTTACTAGTATTTTATCACAGATGTCTTAGAAATATTGCTCGTATCTGTTAGGATCACTGAGTAAGTAATGGTGAAACTAGACGCAGGCCACGATGATAAATCAGCTGAGGTTGTGAATCTTCATCGACTGAGAGAGTTGGGCAACGTGTTACATATACCTGAACACTGGTTACCACGGTGTGCAATGCAGACTAGTGTTGGAGCCGTTTGGAAGAAAGTTGGTGGCTACCAAACCAAAACGTGGCATCAGTCCTTGAAGTCATTAACCTCTGGTATGAGTCATGTTGGTAAATGAAGATTACTTGATTGAGGTCCACACGACTGTCTTGACCAATGGTTGGAGACTCTGAGTGACATGACTAAGAATCGATCACAATGGCATTGGTGTATACACTCTTTGTCTTCCCTTTAAACTATGAGATTAAAATTGTTTTATACCTTTCTTTCTACTAACGAATTCTTTCTCTCTGCATTATATTCTTATGTGAAATCTTCCGTCTATATATTACTATTGAAGTAGCTACTCCTATGAATTTAGGGCTAATGAAGTGTGGTAAATTGGATCGATGCATATATGTGCCTGGTCGTACGTTGTAGTTGACTGACTGACTGGTGACAGATATCTACAAGTTGTAATTATTGAGTACACCGATGTAGTTTACTTTAGATCACAGCAACATATTTCGGAAAATGTCGTTGAACCACCAAGACTTATGGGCACAACCTAGTTTTTTTAAAAATATTCTTAAACAATGATCATAAAGCAAGTTATAGACACAGTAAATGAATGGATTCAAATGCACGAAACTGTTTCTATGAAAACTAGGTTACACATAAAAAATTAAGTATATAAAATCCTGGAGAAGGCAGTACTTACATCTACATACAGATTCACGGAATCCAGGGATAGCAGAAAAAATTTTGGGGTTTTCTTTAACTTTCGTCTACACACTAAGTAAAACAATGAAACTGAACAAACCCAAAACTCAGAAAACCGACAGGTTTCCAGGAGAAACCCAAGCTCCACAACCTGTGAAAGTGGCTCTTCACTGAGCTAACTTTAATAATGTATATCAACTACTTACATGTTCTAGGTGAATCAAGTACTTGCACAATGTAAAATCTGAGTGACTCATGCTTATAATTGCCTTCAGCAGCACTAACCTCGCACACTCAGCGTTGAAACGTTCCGGATAGAACTGATATCTATGTAAGAAGAGCTAATCACAAAGACTTGTTAAATACAATCTAAGCAGAGCTAAATTAGCTTCGAAATCATAATCATTATTTATGATCTGCCATGAAAGATGTTCTTCAAGTGCTGTTATGTGTTCAGGGTTATAGCTAATGTCTTTTAAAATACATACAGGTTAATACCTCTCTATTCCTTGTAGTTTGCTTTTGATGACTGTCTTACGATCCATAACGTGAAACACTTCAAGGAACGCGCCTGTAAACACTCCGCCTACTGTGGGTCTGTTCCTTTTTGAGATTTTATATATCATTGCCTTATTCTAATTTTTTATACACTGTGATTTTTTCCGTGTTTTTGATAAATATATTTTCTCACTCGTTCATTCTCGTACTCCGATACTTCACCATGACTGAACAGACACCCAAAGTACTTGAGTTCTAACTAATGCCCTTCTGGCCAGACAAAATCGAAGCCTGGTTCTGCTACACAGAAGCCAACTTCTACGAGCACGGTGTGAGCGACACACGTGCACAATTCCTCGCAGTAGTCAAGGAAATACCGCGCGAATTCAACAGGTACGTAACACCTAGCGTGTTTACTAGTGATGCTTCGGAACCCTACGAGACACTGAAACGATCTATCCTTAGACGCAGAGACCTAACTGATCGACAAAGGTTAGATCAACTCTTTAATAACATAGACTTGCAGCACGGTCCTGCGACGGACATGTTGCAAAGAATGAGAGAGGTTATAGGCCCAAGAACTTTCGACGAAGGCCTATTCAAACAACTTTTCTTGTCTAAACTTCCCCAACAGGTGCAAGCGGTTCTGGTCTCATTTCAGAACAACGCCTTAGACGAGCTGGCTGCATCTGCAGATCGTATCTTATAAATTACGAAATCTTCTAATGCTGAGGGTTTTTTCAGTCAAAGAAAAGCTTCAAACGGCCCAGAATGATATTACAGAATTACGTCGTACACTTACACGTTAACTTAAATGTCGTAACGACCGTAAACGTTCACACACTCCACGAAGAAGCACTTCACGAAGGTGATTTGTTTCTAGACTACGAAAGACGGATAACTCCGAATGATGCTGGTATCATAACTAGTATGGAAAATCCTTCAGAAATTGCAGAAAACCCTGTCATTTTTCCAACTCAGAATCGACCGGCACTAAAAACAGTTCGGAAAATTTCCAAGCCGGTGTGCGTTAAAGGCAACCGTAGCCGGCGAACATAGCCGTCTGTTATACATCACAGATATGATAACGAAAGTTCGCTACCTTGTCGACACTGGCGCCTAAGTTAGCATTCTCCCAACGAATTCCAACTACCGGTTTCACGAATAGGCTTTAAACTTACAGGCGGCAAACGGAAAGCCTATCGCTACGTATGGCGAAAGGTACGATTACCCTAAAGTGGGTTTACACAAGCCTATTCACTAGATTTTCGTCGTTGCAGATGTTTCTACTCCAACCATTAGTACGAACCTCCTACAACACCATAATGTAATCATCGATACGCGCAAACGGAGGCTATAGCCTTTGTCTACTATAGTAGACCTATTCGCGTTGATTTTCCTTCAGTACAATCGAACGACACGGCTCCTATATTTATAATACCTCATTCGACAGCCAACACGTACGATGATACTTTGGCAGTATCAGAAAATAAACTCATAACTACGCGTTCTGGAAGAAGAGTAAGATTTCCAGATCACTGAACCGAGTATTGCACGTTAGATACCAGTTGACATTTTATATCATCTCGATTTTTCTTTGTACAAAATGTAATATTAAAAAAACAATTTTAATAAGCTTAGATATTTCTATTTCTATTTAAAAAACCATATTATGAAATTCTTTTTTTGCGCTAATACGCATGCATGAGTTTATTTCCCTTTTTCGGCTCCCAGTCATGCATCCACACCAGACCACGAGTTGGAACACCGTGTTCATCATCCCCTGCAATCGCTGGCCAGATTAGATCAGACGATCCTCAATATACTGAGAGCCTATCAAATATATCTTCGAACCCCCTCGCTTCTGTCTTTTGATTTCAGTTGTTGGGTACGACTCATTTTAGGTGTTACTGCTTAAAGCGTTGTCAAAATCCAAATACCTGTGGTATTTTCAGCACTATATCATAACATATATTTCTGACGTCTTTACTAGCCCTTCGTGTGCTGAACAACCTGCGACTTGATAAGTTAATTAGCGGTCAAGTAACCCGCGCTTGCACATGGGTCCTCTGTCTAAGTAGTCGAGCGAACCTCCTGCCTGCTGATCCCGGCATGGTCACAACTACATCAACACTAACAGCGGTTAGCAACTATCATAAACATAAGTTTGGAGTCATACTTCCGGTGGTAGGAACCTATGTTCTCTACATGCAAGTAATGTACATTCATCGTATATGTACTCAGCAATTTCCATTTTCTACTTTTTCAACGACAATCTAAACTGAACTTCAGCCGTTTTTCGCTAAACTGATGACCCCTGACTTAATGTCTATACATGCATCAAAGATTCGACGTCGCATTACTAGGCGGTTAGTAACGATCATGTTCATCATATCTGTTTGTCCACATGTATAAGTGCACCCTACAGTGTTCGTTGCCTGTAAACATTACTTGATTACTGAAATCAATACTTTGTTCCTATCGCACTGTTTATTAGAACATAAAGTTGAGAGCTATTCTCTCGGGAATGCACATGCAGGTCAGTTTCATTCGCCCGTTGTTAACAATCATACGTATTGGTTCTTTATCATGTCTTAGTACGGTTTCGTAACAAATGGGGTCGAGCGCATCAACTTCAAACGACATAAACCACGCTAGGCTTCACGACCAAGATGGAATACGACCCAGCATGTCCCATCTCCACAGTTACTACTCCATTTCTCTGGTCATTCTACTAATACATATTTAACAATAACTCGTGTGGTTATAACTAGAACGACAACGTAGACTAACTTTGGGTTTCATGGTTTTATTAATTGCAGTACAGCAAGGAATATAAAACATCGATGCAATTATCATGTTGCTGATGGATTTTTTTCACACAAACTCCATTTGTGTAAATTGAAATCCATTAATCTTTAATCGACGTTATTTACTCTACTGAGGTTATTTAGAACCTATTCATTTTCAACCATTTTTATCCTTATATTCTGGCGACACAACAGATCAATTTCTGTCATATTCTCTTCTACTCACTTTCACTATTGTTTCCACTGTCACAAACGATTCATTACTTTGTTTTCACGATCGTTTGAATCACTCATATGAACGTATTATCTTATTATCCAGACAGTCACAATATAAACCTATATTATTTTCTGCACACTTATTAATTTGCTCATAATCTAATGCTAATTTCTTTTCGTCCGTGCCTACACGATATTCATGTATATTTTACGTAAGTATGACACTTTCATGTTATATACTCATTCCTCACGTGACACTGCACTTTGTCAGATATAGTACAAACTTTCTCACTACTTGTTGTTAGATTCAACCACATACGTCTTTAGTGTTATTTTAGAAAACAGACATTTTTGAAAAGTAATCTGCTATTTTCCAAAGGAGGACTTTGTAGGAGCTAGTACTATGTCAATCCTAAATAGGTTATTCTGGACTCTGGACAAATTAATTCATTCATTCTTCTCAAGAAATATTTTTACCTGGTCACTTATTCGCTTAGTAACCTTGATTGTTTTATTGCAGTATATGTGTTAAGTACCCACCCTATTCATCGTATGAGAATAAATATAGAATCATGCCTGACCAAATGGAGTTAGCACACTCTTCTTCGTCTCACTTCGTTTCGCGTCCTCCTCTTCACTTCTATCATTTCGTTACTCTGGTTGTCTGTCCAGGTCAATGCATTTACCATGGAAGTGAAGAAGCATTATATACAAAGTGAAACAGTGGATTACTGCCAACAAAAAGTGTATGCACGGAGAATTTTCACAAACAAGCACGTACAAACATAACGGCCTTAAAGTACTCACACTAATATAGAAGGCACATAAATGATACTTTTATCCTGTACCATAAGAAGTGTAATTTGTGTTATACTCCATAAACTCTCAACAACCGTTTCCTGCCATTGAAATTTGAGCATGCAAGCAACAGACTGAGTGCACACAACAAACTTATTTTTTGCTACATCTTAATGAGTAGAAAATTGTAATTCTAACGACTCGTGACTCGATGTATCAATTAACTTGAAACTATCACGTCTAACCTTGTCATTAGTACCTATACGCTAAGCATCCATTTCCTCTATATCAAAATATTAAGAAGATTTGATTTAACCCTAATCCTAAACCGTGCGTTTCGATAGGGAGACTAAGTTGGAGAGACTCATTCCACCTTCATAGGGTTCGCCAGAGATCATTTACCGTTTTGGTCCCTCACCGTTGATTTCATTCCAACATACCCACCTCATACACGATACAATGAGTAGCTGCTTGGATCTTATATCACAAATGCGACCTCAGAAATGTCAGGTATAATAATCTAAACATTTTTTGTCTGTGGCGAAATGACACTAACAGCCCATTAGAACCTGAAATCTTATGAAGCGGCAGTCTGAAAGTCATTTGTCGTCCTAAGACTGTTTCTCACTATGACTTCAAGGTCATTTTGGTCCAATATAGATGACACAATTTCACTTGTTGTGCAACGATATTGCGGAGATGTGACGTCGAGTGAAGTGTCTGGGTGGGGCGGCGTCGGCTGTTGGGTGGACATCAGATGTAGATGGCTCAACAGGTCTCTGCAGCGCAGGCGTTGAATGTCCCTGGTGCCAGGTGGGTGTCGGATGTTGATATTGTGGCAGGTCGACAGAGCTATGGAGGTCAGCGCGCCACAGACTAGATATTTTGACGGAGAGCGTGGCCTAGACTGCGCGAAAGAGGAAAGTACCACGATTAGTTCTGATTGGTTCTCAGATTTTACTCATATGTTCTGTAATTTCGCGTTCAAATGAATTCGCTTGTCCACACATGTGTTCTTGTTCACTACAACATGAATCGTTCCAGTTATTTATTCTTATCACTACATACTTGCTAAAACTGGCTTCTATTGGCCACTTGCCCATCTACTCAACCAGCGGCTTTAGTTCATATTGTAATATTATCCCTCCTGCTTATGGGCCTTCGAATCCTGATGCCACATTGCCAAGAGTAAAACAGTCGACTTTTCTAAAATTAGCAAATCATTTCTACAAAGCAAAAAAGAAAATGACCATGGGTTTTTCCATGTTAC